ACACTGCATGATCTAGAATTTGTTCATAAGTATTAGAGTTAACAACCGAAATCGCAAGAAACTCACCTGGTTCCTGGAATTGTATGTGATCAATGTGCTGGTTGTGTGTACTTAAATCACTGATATCCAGAATTCGCATCATAGATTTTCCAACATTCTTTACTGCAATCCACGTGACTAATGGATGATCATTTCTACGACTGTCTGTAACATCTGCATACCCTAAACACCTCATATTCGAACGAACAATCCTTCTTTCTGTAACTTCGATAGAGTCTGCTTCGTTGCAGAATGTTTAGCATTTCTATATTGAAATAGAAATGTGTCTACTCACCTCTCCAGTTCATCAAATGTTAAAGTAGCAATGGAGTTGATAGCAATTTTTAATGTCCTGACAAAATTATTTGCCTGACCATTAGAACAAGAGTGACTGGCAGCAGGGAACAGATGTCTTCATTCAATATTATTCGCCTAGGTATTGACTGTATCTGCAGCAAAATGAAAGTCATTATGGGTCACCAATACTATAGCAACCCCCTTCCGACTAAAAACGTTTTCCTATGCTTGGATTATGAAGTCGAACTTTGGTAAAGTTGTGAAAAAAACTTCGGACTGCCTTTAAAAATAATCAGTAACAACATGAGCACAGTATTTGCCGTGAAACAGACCACAATAATCTGCATGGTTTCTCTTTCGGAACTCGGATGATAATGCCCAAGGACTTCACTTCAAAGGACGAATTACAGACTTATGATATCTTCCATAATTGTTTTCTGTAGAGCATATATTTGCATTTGTTTCCGGCCATCAACATGTGAGCGTTGCGAAATATTTAGTTTTCTTAACACCCAGATGTCCACAATGGAGATCTCCGAGTACAGAGTTACATAATGAAGGAGGAAAAAGAACACGGCCATTTTAATGCAAAATACCATCAGGAGTAGTAGATAACTCATCAAAATTTGTAAATAGATAGAAAATCTACGTTTCGGATTATAACCTCAACTTTTTCGTATAGCATTGAGTATACACTCAAAGTACTGAAGATTATCTCTAATGATATCTGGACGACTCATCGGTAAGGGTTGCCCTAATAAACGGTTTACCGTATTGAAAAGTTTATCTTGCAAAGACTGTTGAGATGTCTAACCAATATCGTGCAACTGTCTTACATATTTTGTGCTGAATCGTACAGCCATAGGCACTCAGAGAAATATTTGAACCATAGCAGCTGAGGAAGGTACTAATATTTTTTAGGATGACAAATGGGCTTCAAAGCTTCATGTTCTATAACAATAGCAAATATTTTTCGAAATGGATATTTGTGAAGTCGTTTAACGGTCCAAAATACAGTTTACGATTCTTGCTGAGGTTTTAGTGACATGTATATTAAGTGACACTTTGTAACGACAAAATAAAGACCGCGTTTTTTATTTTGTAACACTATATACAATCACGTTTACATTCCGCACCTACTGTTTCTCTGTGTCGAGTGTAAAAACTGACATTATTACTAAGTCGTAGTCAGACACTGCAGTGGTTATTACAAACGAACGCTATCTCTTTTGACTGTTCTGCTGCTTTGTTGGCCATAATCTGTGATTGAAGATATTAATAGTGTTATAATATCCTTTTAGGACGTCCTACACTATGTTGAAGCTTTGACCCGGATTATCACCGAAAAATACTATCGTATCTAATCTTTGTCATTACGCCGTTGATGCCATTGTGGTGATGAGCATGACAAATATACTATGTAAATAGTTTTTAATATGATTAGCATCTATTTTGTTAACTTTTACAGTCTGTACATTTAGCACAAAATGATTGTGTCATGTTGTTTAAGTGTATGACCTTGAGCACATATTCTTCCGTAGTGTAACTCTCAGCATGACACACTTTCTTAACCGCTCATAAATACATTACTGCACAAACGTCTCCTGTTCTCTGTTGCTTGTGGTTACGATGACTGAACCTTGAAACATTTATCATCTACATTTATAGACCGCGGAGATATTTACATTATATTCTGCGTTCGGCTATATTACTGGAGCCATAACAACCACACTGGAATTATCAATTATATATCATTGTGGATTATGGAGTCAAACGCAACAGAAAACGCATCAACCTGCTGATTTCAGTAACGTCCTTTAACTTTTATTCGTGTTTATAACTTATAAATTATATACTATAACATTAACATTTGGAGGTGGTAACTTTATTGCTATTATTGAGTTAATACAATTTTCGGTCCACCACACCATCATATACAGAAGAGCCTTTCGCTACTCAAGTGAACTCATTTTTGGCTGCTATCTCAGATTACAAGGGACGTTCGTTTCATAACAACTGTTATCATTTTGTTATTTAATATATCATTTTTTGACGTAACTGTTATTTGTTACCGTTTTGTTTCATTCAAAAACGGATACTTCGGTTTGTTGTGTTAATTATTTTTGGTATATGGTTCGTAACTGTGCGTACTGTTATATCTTGAATAACTACTTTTGCTGAGATCTACCACAAGTTTGTGAATAATCTTGTTCAGTAATACTGCGTCTCAACGGAACACAGATTACTAGTCTACATTTTCGTTCCAAAACTAAAAAAGTACTCACATGTGATACATCAGTAATACGTTTAGAGTGAACGCTAGGGGCGTAACTTTGAAGAACTCGAAAAAATATCACAATATATAAAAAGCGAAATAAAGCAACGATATACAGAATTCCAGGGAAGGACAGACCCACACTTTACAGTTTGGTGCACCAGTTCACGTCGAGCTGACCAATGAAGATGCCAAAGGTATTTGAAGTTCGACAACACTAACCAGTAACACCTTCTAATATGAATCGTACCCACCAAGTGAAATCAAAAGACGGAAGCGAGAAGGTTCAAAGATATATTTGATACGCTATCAGTATATCGAGGATCGACTGATCTAATCTGGCTAGCGATTGCAGGGGATGTTGAGCACGGCGTCACCACTCGTGATCTGGTTTGGATGCATGACCGAGCGCCTTCAGTTAGGTGAGCCCATTAAAGCTAAAGTGGTCAGCATCCAATGTCGAAGACTTACAGATTTATTTAGTTTGAGGATTTATTTACCGCTTCAGATCACTCTCCCTAGTGAGGTAGTGATGACCATAAAACGTAGCCAGCCAGAAGTTTAAAGCCAACGAGTTTGTCACTGGTAAGCACTCTTCTAATAGCTTTCTATGCTTAGCAGCGTCTGGTCGTATTTCCTTGCTATAATGGACCATATGGTACAATATAGTAATAAGGCAAAAAAGTACATTGAAAATTTCGCTTCATCGTAAACTTCGTCAATCTAATCTCGCCTTTTACAGCCGTCCTGGAAAAGAAAAAAAGAATATGTAAGTTCGTGTCAAAATACACTCGTACTCACGTAAAACACAAAGCGGCTGAAAATACAGAAATAAACTCATGTACATGCGATAACGTAAAAGTGATTTTTGAAGAATTTCTTTGGTGTATTTTAAGAAAAAAATTAAATATACACGTATCAGCAAAAAAATTTGTTTCTTTTTTCAATAAATATATAAATATAAGCATATTAAACTCTTTACTACATACAATAAAAAGGATAATCGGGGTGAAACAAAATGTTAACAGGTATCTTACGCGCAATAATCATTTAAATGTTATGAAAATCTTACTCTTATTCCAGAACGCTCTGTTTTATTTTTGTTTTCATATACTGTCAATGTATCATCGTGCGTATTGGCTGACGGATGAAGTATCATGGATGTAGAATTCGTGTTTTTCGACTGTACCGAAGGAAAATCGACGTGGATGGGATTTCCTTCTAAATACTCTGCTTTGAGCCAATCGATGTTGATGCTATCATTGGTTCCGTTCTTATCGATTATATAGTACATAGAACTTTGAAGGGTCCTTCGTACGCTCATTCGAAAGGTCGTTGATGTAAGTCTTGACGTACAAAGACTTGTGTACTTAATCGTAAGTCAGATTGAACGAAAACATCAGTTGATTGCGGTTGGGTGAAAACAGGTTTAACTGAACGCACTGCGTTTGTAAGCCTGTTCGTGCAGGAGGTCAGATCCATGTTAATTTGAGAGGATGAAGCACCCACGAATTCTCCTGGAAGTAGAAGTGTTGTTCCGTAAACCAGGGCCAGTGAAATGTCACTGAGCCCTAGCCAAATCATCCGGCAGTTGGATCACTGAATGTCGAACAGATCATCGCTCCCTGCCAAGGTCATGAACAAGCAGCGCGCATTAGTTAATCATACGACATGGACTGGCCCATGCGGCAGTGGTCTTACTTTCGCCTGTATCTACCTTAACTAATATATTTCTGTAATAACGTCCTTTGTGTTGTACAGTCTTCAAAGCATCTATAGTACCTTGTTACGTCAATGGGGGTAGTCCACGTAAGGTGCTGACCACGAGGTGTGACTTCGACATTAGCTAGTTTGTCACACCATTCATGTCTAACTCGAGTAGGCCTCCAATCATTTCGACATAGATCATCAACGTTGGTGATCTACAAGGCAATCGATGCTGATGCTATCATTGGTTCCGTTCTTATCGATTATATAGTACATAGAACTTTGAAGGGTCCTTCGTACGCTCATTCGAAAGGTCGTTGATGTAAGTCTTGACGTACAAAGACTTGTGTACTTAATCGTAAGTCAGATTGAACGAAAACATCAGTTGATTGCGGTTGGGTGAAAACAGGTTTAACTGAACGCACTGCGTTTGTAAGCCTGTTCGTGCAGGAGGTCAGATCCATGTTAATTTGAGAGGATGAAGCACCCACGAATTCTCCTGGAAGTAGAAGTGTTGTTCCGTAAACCAGGTGGGTTGCAGTGTATCCAATGTCAGCTTTGCGAATATCTAGTAAGACGAGTGGAAGAGCTAAAGTGGTCAGCATCCAATGTCGAAGACTTACAGATTTGTTTAGTTTGGGGATTTATCTAACGCCACATCAATGTTTGTAGGCTTTCTATACTTACTTTACAAATCTGAATCTCAAAACATTTAAAACAAATAGTTTGCACCATATGATATTCGTCGAAATCGTAATTCATTCTAAGTGAAGCATACATGAGAAAACACCAATAAATTGGTTTCTAAAAATTGAGGCGTTGCGTCATACTTCATCCTCATATTCCTGGCGGTCTTTCAATGGGATGTCTACGGTGAAGGCTGTTAAAACTAAAAAGGGTAAAATCGAGATAGATGTTGAGCGATACCGTTCTGAGGGCTTTTGGAGTAAGGCCTTAGAAGTAATCCTATCTCATGGATCCGACCGCTCCACGTCTCTTCGTAGGAAAATTTTGAAAAATTATATATTTTGCTTGTAATAGATATGTTAAATCAGCTGATACTTTGTGAGAATGAACTAGAATGGAACGATCAAGGTGAATTACCACCAGAAAATTTATCCAAGGCTAAGAGGTATGCGGAAGAAGTTATGAATGGGAATGACGAGCAATATAAATTTGAGGCATCTGTCCTTCTTGGGAAAATATACTATCTACAGGGGAATAGTGAAAAAGCTCTTAAGATCTTAAGTTCCCTCAATTTGTTATCTGCCAAAATGGACCCTATTACACTGCGTTTCAATTACATCGTTAGTGAGGGTTTGGCTGTATTGGGTATGCTTCTTTTACTCAACTAGTTTTGACTTCACAGGTTTGTGCAAAGAAGAACAGTCAAAGCTAAAAAGCCTATCTGACATATCAAAAGAGAGAGACAATATCATTAATTTATTCAACTTAGCTTGTCACATGTGCATAAAACATCTTCAGGAATTAGATCGAACTCAACCAGAGCATACCAATTCATCTGTCAGTCTACCACCGATTGTAGAAAAAGTCATACAAAAGATTCCGGAAATTCTGATTAAAAAGGGGTAAAGAAGTATTTTTGTTTTGCCTTCTAAGTTCTTTGGCACATGATATGTTTGTGTTTACCAAACAAAGCAATTGATGTTTGCCATTTTCAGAACGATATGTTAATAATATTTTGTATCACTCTTAAGTATTACTGGGTGTAGTCAACCAATTTTTAAGTGCTGTTTCGATTTGCGGCAACTCTCAACAGTCCTGTTTTGTATGAAGTTATGATTAGTTGTAGATTTGTATCTAATTTGGTGATATGTCATAAGAGGTGTCGGAAAATATTCTTGTGGAAATCTATAAAAAACAGGAAAAGGTTCAGACTGATGAGCTAGAAAACATTCAGAATTTCAGTCAAGCATTGTAATTTTATCTTCTGAAATACAAACATTTAAGGGTGCTAGGCTATTGCCTAAATTTCACGTCCTATATAACAGCCAAATAAGCAAAACATCATAATTAGTGCACTCTTATGGAAAGTGCAAAATTTTTGAGGTAAGGACAATATAGTTTATCCACTTAACAATACAAAAAGCAAGTACTTTTAAGCCTTCTATGTATATTTTAAGTTGCTGACATTTTCCTTCTGGTAAATCGGATTCGAGAGTGCTATGATGCATCATTTGGCGGTGACCACTTATGATGTCACTAATAACTATTGTATCTTGATCCTTGATCTTCTATCTTAAAATAGACAATGGTTCAGTGTATCCGCTTTATGTGTCTACTGTAGTGTATACCGTCGTTTACATTGCTTATTCGTTTTACAGTGCTCTTATACCATAAAGACTTTTTTCTTTATTATCACGTTCTACAGATTTTGTTCTACATTTCCGATAACCTTTTCCTAGCTTTATACTCTGATGTAGTATACTACACTGTGGACTGTTCCTTACAAGCATCACTTCGTCACACTTGTAACGAGGCCCCCAAATGCCCTGGTACGACTGAGAGTGGGAAGAGTCCGCTCTCCCTCTCAAAATGCTCTCACATGGCCACGCGTATATAACCTCTGCCAGGGAAGTCCTACTCACTGCTTTCTCGTGGCGAGTGGGTGTTTATAAAATTGAGAGGACGAAAAGCGAACGTTCGGCTCTTTAACCGGGTTGGTGGACATGGAGAGTCCACCTAGGGGAGTTGGAAAACCCTGATTCCAAACCAGTGGTGCACATGGGCTCCTGTATCCTGAAGGAACAAGAGGCGTATGAACCAATCGTTGGTCACCGGCTACCATGGGACTGCATCTCCTTACGTTGCTACACTTCCTTTTGGATCAGACCTTCAGGTCGAAGGCTCCGGGTGTGGCCTAAAAAAACCACCTGCTTCGGTTTGGGCACCTGGGCAGTATCACAGCCCACACATATCAAATGAGATCTGTGTGGCGCATATGTATTTTGTGCCTCGTACCCAATATCTGTGTGTTAAAATAAAATAAATAATAATAACTTGTAACGAGCAATGTAATTTAGTAATACCGGGTCAGCATTTCGTAGTAATGTTTGGATTAAGTATACTATTTAAAGAGCTGTCATGGTATAACTCAGAAAAGAGGTTTGCTAGTTTACTATTTTCCATTCAAATAAACAACAATATTTTTAAAATTGATTATTAAGATTTCTCATTAACACCCATCTGTAGCAAATCTAACAACAGTAGCAACTAATTCTGCATTGCGAATTCGTAAGTCAAGCACGCACAGAGTATATCTGAAACCCATCCTTAGTGTTTATGACCTACGAATATCGTAAACTTTCCCACCTACGTCCTCAATAAAATCTCCAGCTGGTTATTCATTTATTAGTTGGCGCTAGTTGTATGTAACACTCGGATCTTTCTGTGATACCTCACTACAGGCATTCAAGCATTGAGTAGTGTGACCTTTTAAAAACAGGAGCAGGACCTCTATTGAACGGCTTAGATGCTACTCCAGTTTAAATTAGGTCCTCATATAGTACTAATAAATCAAACTAATTATTTTGTCGGTTGTACGCGACGTAAAGCCTGGCACATATGACCATTATTTCAGATTACCGTTCCCCATTAGCATCTGGTTTGACATCATGCTTCGTATTTCGGTACCATATATAATAGAAAAATTGTTCTAAAAAAATTAAGGTAGATATTGTTCTTGTGTGATTTGTAATGGCAGAGTACTTCTTGGGTTTGTTTCATTAAGATCCGGATTCCGGACTCTCAAAAGATGAAGATGGTTAACATTCGACCGTATAAAATAAAAATATATTTGATATTTGCGATCTCGATTGACACAACTGTTTTGCCTCTAAATTTTTATTTTCTCCAAGTGACATACCTGGTGCTATTTCGAAGTATCGAACTATTCTTGGGTACTGTGAGTTGCCTGCTACCAGGTCTCTTAGACGAGCTTTATCCTTACGGTTTTCTGAACTGTTGTTACGGAGTGTATGCATAAAGACATATCACAAGTATAATACATCAATGGATCAAGATTCCTCAACAGATAAGGTTTGCTATTAATTTAAACCACTCATTTTTATTTTGATTCAACAAATGTTTCCTTCTGTACTTTCATTGTTTTAGAGAAACAAATTTTCCACTTGATTTATGCTAAATATACATACCTTCAGTTTTCAAACACATGCAAGAAAAGGTATGGAATGTCTTTTCGAGGTCCAGGTGTTTAGGACTAATCAACCTAAAATATCAATCATTTTAAATCATTCAAATCTTAAACAGATGCCGTAGAGGCTCTTTTTTGAAAGTCAGTCAAACAATCTTATTATTGATACTTGGTCTCCATAAATGCTACTGGTACTTAGTGTAGGAAGTTTAGTTACCGCAGCAAATTCATATGTCTATCCAATTCATTATATAACCTAGTTCGAGAATTACGAAGTAATAATTTGCAGTACACGGGCATAAAAGTGGTTATATGCTTACGTATCTATAACCTCTGACTCGCTTAGAAACCTGTACATAGTCGCTGACAAACAGTTCTCTTATATTGCCACATTCCGTCTCGAAAGAGGTAAAGCCATTAAAAAAGACTCACCTTATTTTCCCAATTGTAAACGAAAATCATGGGCAGTAACTATCTGTACCGTAATATCTCTACTTGTCAGTATAACGGTTATATCATTCAATACTGATTATTATGAGTTCTATGACCAAAGTATATTTATACTTTCACAATCCCTCCCTCAATTAATAAACGAGAAGTTACGAAATAAACCAGTCTTTGTTTCGTCTGATATATTTACTACATATTCAAATGGTCATTTCAAGATTACAAAACAACACTCAGTAGATTTGTCGTCACAGAAACCATAGTCGCTTTGTTAATCAACGTGCCCGTTGGCTAAATTATTTCCCAACTAAAAGTCAGTTGAAAAGTATCCTTTATTTAGTTTGCCTAGATTTTTATGAAATACAAGACTATATTCTGAATAAAAGCGGCATACTTGAACGTAATTTACAAATTTATGTTGTATATTGTCAGTCGTAAAACTTAACAAATGAATTCACTGGTTGATAATGTGGTGTGTGTGGCGGGAGCTAATGTCCAAGGCGTTTAATTTCTATTCACTAAGTCCCAGTCTTGAACACTTCTCTACCTACTTCGGTTTGATCAACCTGGTAGTATCGCTAGCCAATCATACATAAAGTATGATTCGAACCCAAAATACCGTATAAATCAGTTAATTTATTCGTTTTTATTTGATGTGATGATTTGTTAAGTTACCGTATATTTCCATGTTATCTACATTTTGAATTTAATATGTTAAACGTAGTTTGGTGATGAAGTATTTTTATCTTAATTGTCTTGTCCTAGGTACATAGTATGAATTATCATACTTTATTCAACATTATTCCAGTTCAAAGCTTATTTCACCATGTTTTTTTTATTCACGCTGTAATTCATGATTGAACAGTTCACAGAAAATTACTTGTATTTTGTAGTATTCTACTGTTTTGTTTTCATCATATATTTTCTTTGATATTAGGATGCACAACTAATTCCATACCGATATCCTACAAATAGATACATTCCAGACAATCGAATAGAAGAAGCCATTTTTTCGTTAATGATTTCCGAACACATAGTAAGTTTTACTATAAATGTATATTCATGTTGTAAGCTTTCATATTTCAATACTGATAAGAAAGATGATAAAGAATATATATATATATATATATATATATATATATATATATATATAAATTAAGTATTAACTAAGTAACTTTCGCCTCCACATATCACTTTCACACAGTTGGATTGTCCGATGCTTTCAGCAGAGTTATCCTAGTATATTGTCAGGAAATTTTTTTGTAATACCTCTGAAATATTAATTTAAATTGTTGAAGGTTCTGCAGTCAACGGATTTCGATGTCAACGCTATCACTGTAGTCTTGATCGCAACGACAATTGAAATATTTACTCTAATGTTACTCTTAGTTTCAATCGATCCTCCAAAGTTTCTTGAGAAAGGAAAAGCATTTCGATTTGATATGATAATTATTGTCGAATTCCGATTTCAAATTCAGATTTCCCAGTTTGTGCATGATTCATCCAATTTGTACTAAACAGGGAACTGATAAATAAATTGTTCTATATTCTGTGGTTTATCTTATCTTTTTGGTTGTCTATTTTGCCTATGTCCTGAGATGAGTAAAATTTATTACATAATGTATTTTTATACCAGATTTCCGTCTAAGCTGAAATTTTCTTTATTCAAATCAAAAGTGTTATCATACCTACTACTTTCAACTTAAAAATATTGAAAAGCTATTATTGTCAACTCGTAATAGTTGTGTAACACCACTCATCTTTAACTAAACATCATATAATATTGTAAAAAAACTAACTATGGAAGTTTTATCATTTATAATTAAAGTGTTCTCAAACTGTCTAGTCGTTAAAGCTGTTCATAGTATTATTGAGGTGTCACAGGGATACTCACTAATGTTATACTCTTCTTTTCACCAATTAATTACAATCAGTTTCTAAATATACTACTCTGATATCTTAAAGACAAGATAAACAATCACTTTGGGCTGTTGTTTAATCATGTTTATTTTCATGTGTATAAATTTGTAGGCCAGTCAAGATGTTATACTTAATCGACCGTCAGAATTATCTGAACCACAAATAGTTCGATCATTTAACAATGCAGCTGCTGTCTACGACTTACTTGCCATACTTCTTACTAAAGTTAAACATTTCAAATTTCTTTCTAAAGTGAGTTATTTTGAACTGTTATGCTTTCTTGGAGAAAAAAAGCTCAATATGTATGTGATGCGCATAATCATTGAAAATTGAAGTTGCTTGTGCATATTTATTCACTATATAGCTATAATAATTAAATAAAGTTTTAATGTCATCTGAATTTAAATGATTAGTCACTTTAACTTTTGTTTAGTGATCTACGGAGGCAAATCAACACATCATAATACATGGCTTGATAGCTTATTTGTTCGTATCGCACTTCGAAGAGATTTGACAATAATAAACTGTCAAAATCTGTACATTTGCTCCACTATAACTTTTTTTATCAAATGCGCAACCTTTGGTCGTTGATTTCAACTATCACAAACTCTAACCACGAAATCAATATTGTTTTACTACTTCAGACCAATACTTTGTTAGTCACTTCACGTTTTCTAATGGTCTGTCTGTTAAGTTGCCAGACACTACTGCTAATCATCAGTTCCCGATTTCGATCCGAAATCATGACATTCTGTGTTTAATTGTTGCATAAGTGAGGGTTATTCGCTTGTTCTTAACTGGAATCAATCGCAATCCAGATCAATTAAGCTTTAGCTAACTTGATGAATAACTTAAATTCACAAAATCCAACATCATACTGGTATTATAATCCGAATTAAATGTGGAATAATATCGTGATCAGACAGAAAAGTCTTTATTGATGTTTGAAAGCCCAATATGTAGACTGATCAGCGAGCATTTTTGCATCTATAATTGTCATTTTCATCGTTTCCATGATTAGAATCTTTGGTTTTATTTGTTATCTTTCTCGAATCCCACGTATCTTTTTATCACGAACAGGATGCTATAAGACAAAATTATGCCTTGTATTCAATTATAATAGTCAATATTTATAAATCTCACTGCCATTCGCACTCCGTATTTTTGAAGTTATTGTATACGCACTAGATAACGAATTAAGATAAACAAACACAACAGTTTTAAAGTAAGTGATTACGATAACTACCATTAGTCAGCGAAAAGGTTATATAAATTAAACGGGTTAGTCCAACTTAGCAATTTAAAGAGAAGCCTAATGGTTAATCACTTAGCTGTCACTCAGTAAGTCACTGATACAAAGCACGCTTCTGTATAGTTTGTAATAAAAGGTCATAAGGAGTTTGTTAGACTAATGAAGGAAATGCACCAATCGATTGATAATATGCAATGATATAGTGAGGCCGAGTGATAGTTTCTCACGAGATCGAATTATTAACATGAGCCCTCAAATGAACTGATATAAAAAGTAAAAACCTCAGGCCAGTAGAATAGGTTATTTTGGAAAATAAATATTCTTATATACAAACTGTCAAACACAAAAATAAATATGATTAGTAGTAGTTTAACAACTAAATAATTGGAGGGTATGAAAACCATATATTATTCACTCTTCAACAGAATCCCTAATTACCGAGGCTTAATTCTTTCCCTTTCATATCAACCTCAACCAACCACTGGGTAATAACAAATGTCATAATATCTAGTTCCTTCAGCCTCCTAATCGTATTCTGTTGATCAACTTGTCAGGTGAGATTAAATCAATTAATATGCGGCTAGAAACCCCTAAGTTATTGATTTATAGCTTTCTGCTAGTTGACTCAAATCATAAAATTTCGAAAAAGGATGTAATTTGTGTTTGTGTTAGGGCTGCATCTAACATGATGAAAGGTCTAAAGTAAGTTGCCGAATAACGATTAATCCAAAGTTTCTCAGCCTTCATTGTTGAGTGAATTCCGGTATATTTGTATTGTTTCTAACTGTGATTTTTACTAGTGTACCTTAATCTCCTAACAAAAGGGTTGGAGATAACTAAACATAGTTTCATATAGCTCTCCAACGACCAGCATTGACTATTCATAATATATTTAGTGAATTGATATCATGTCAATGATTGTAATTTCAACAATAATTACTCCATAAATAAATATGGTCATATTTCACAATTTTCTTTTCATTTTTACATTTATGATTATATGTAGTGCCTTGAAAAAGCACTCAAGTTTTCTTATCATCAATTTCATATCTGGTATCAATTCGCTTTATCACTTATCAGTTCTAAACAAGTATGTTTTTATCTCCTTTATTATCATCTGTGATTAACAGTCATTTATGTGTAATTATTATCGTTTTTATGCATATTAAATTTGTTTTTAAATTTGCTGACGTTATTACATTTTGTTAATAATATAATTTTGAATGCCTTGTATACTTTTCCTGTTATCATATTTTGCTTGGATTGGAAACTGTCTTTTATGGACTAAGAAAAAAGTATAGATCAAAGAATATATTGAATAACGTACAGTAGCAATAATTTGACTTAGTAGTTAATGAACCTCAATTTTAACTGTTGGGTTACTAGTTTGTAACCTATTATACATATTTTGGATACCTCAAACAGCTGACGAGTAATATTTACGCCTACATGTTGAATGTAACTCAGTGCCGAGCACTACACATTTATGAAATTGTTTACTAAATTAGTAACACATAAAACATATTTGAAGAACTTTTATCACAATTAGAAACTCAGGAAATATCAAACTATGTACTCATAACTAAAATTGATCCTGAGATTATCATATTTCATGATAAACACTTTAGAATTCAACTATTTGATTAAGATCTATGTTATCAGAATTCAGTTCTAACTGTATTTCACAAGTAGATCGGGTTCAAACCCGTATATTCTGATTGGATCATGGTCCGTCTTCCAACCAGTCATTATCTGACGACCAATTGAAGATTGCAGAAAATTCTTATTTAGATTCTACATAATCCCTAGTGTTTCTTACTATTATATCTTTGTTGTTTGGATTTATTGCAACATGCAGACAGTGGCTTGACATGAACAACATATCTGTCAGCCATCGCTTACGTCCACCTTCTATGCTAACTAGCAAAGAATTGTAGACAACTGTTTGTAACTAAATAAAGAAATGTCAGTTCATGAATCTATGTACAATCGAACTGAGTCGCTCCAGAAATCGTCGACCTGGTTGTAGTCCACGAGGTTATCATAACTTACGTTTAAAAGACTCGACTAACACTATGATTCCCATTCGATAATAGTAGCACAAATCCATTGGTTCTGTCTACTTTATATCTTTAACTTAGTGTTATTCCTTACTTTCGGCGGTCCTTTCCGACCTATATTTTCTATGCTTAGTTTCCAATACGATTGATATGATTATTTCGTCTGTTATGTTTTTCATTTTGATGAGTTTACCACAATATACTCTTGTGGGTTGGTCTAAACTGGACCGACAATTGTACAACCTTGTGTACGATTGACTTGAAAAATTTTTTGTTAAAATTCATCAAAAAGTTATATTATTTTTAAAAATGGATAAAAATCATTTTATATCTGTTATAAATTGTGACCGCCAATGAGGGAGCAGCGAATTATCGATCGGACCAAGGACGCGTAAAACACGTGCGAGCAGCCTAGAGTCCTGATTGGTCCTGCTTTCCGTTTAGCCCAACCAGTTAAGTTCAGAACACCAATCCGAGCCTCTGCGATATGAATCATTATATTTAAAGCATACTGTGTTTATATACCAATCAAGCACACCACAACGTACCAATAAAATATGAAACAACATTCGTACAAGAATTAGCCAAATGTGGCTATGAATGACTGAGGTAGTAACTAATATACTGGGTATAACTCAAGAATGGTAAAACATATAATAATAGTTTATGGGTCAACATAAAGCTTATAATAAAAGGAATATGAATATGCATAGTTTAGTTACTTAATAATCATACAGTAGAAATATACGTTTAGTACTGGTCCATCAATAGATCCCAAAAGTTACCATTTATTATTCTTGTCGGGACATAACAGTATCCTATTCGTAAATGCCTCAAATTTCGTATCTGTTTGTTTTGGAAATTATAAACACATTATTATCAGGCTAAATAGTTATATATACTAGTCTGCACTTTGAAAATGTATTATTAATAGGTGCTTTTAATGCGTAACCCTCCTAATTATAAAGTAAAGAGGAAGACAAACTAAATATGAAACTTCTCATTTCAACCATATCACTTACATCTCATGTGTATGTTTGTATGAGTGGTCTGAATAGTCTTGATAGCGAGCGTAAAAATTATAACATTTGAGAAGTTAGATCATACAGTAATTCAATAAGACATGTTCACTTTTATATTCAACGTTATCATACTTTCTTGATAGGCTGTGTAACGTAACAAATCTAGTTTACTTTACTCTGTGTATTATGACCATCAGTCAGTAACAACGTAAAACTTCGTACGTACGTACATCAGTTCGAGTTGCCATAAATACATTAGCACAGAGATGCAGTTGTCGATTCAAATCCCGTAGTTGTAGAGGTAGTAGTAGCAGTAATCGGAAAGACTAGGGTTTGAAGATGTTATACAAGGAGTATAATCCAGTAAAATAAATTTGGAAAGAGAAAAAAAGGGACGTGAAGAATTCAGAAGATTAGAATTTGGGAGAACACAAAAAGTGGATAGACCTGCGCCATTGCAAACGATTTTGAGCCATGTGATTCAAGGTCTCTAACCATCGTGACCATACCTACCCCCAGACAATATGAGAAGAAACCCTCATATGACACATCTTTTAAATAACTTTGTTATACCAAAATACTTTATATTTTATAAATAAGTAACAAAACCTTAATTATCTGGTTTCTGTTTTTAGTTCCTTACTTTTTAGTTTTTTTCTATAACTTGTTCAGCTTTTAACCAATATGGAAGCAAGCATTTTTAAATAATCTAGGTTCTATGATAAGCATTGAGCTTTATTCTTCTGACTTGTTTATCATTCAATTCTCTATAGTATTATCGTGGTTATTTGGCTCTACGCGAATGTTTACGAATTGATAATTCTAAAATATCCGTTTATCTATTCGCTAGTTCATTATGTTTGGGTCATTTGAATTTAATTGAAGAAGGCATGGAATTAGCTTCACAGGCAGTAGAGGTAATATTTCTATTCCTACCTATTTACAATTATTATTGTTATTATTAATATTATTATTATTATCAGCTTTATTCAATATTATATTTTTGGTACAATATAGAATTCTCAGCGTAAAGTATTTCAACAAGTTTCCGTTTCTTTCTTCTTGGTCGGTCCTGGCGATAAATATTGAGTGATCGCCAGTTAGATGTTAGCAGTTCAGTAAATGAACATCTGAATAATGTGCATTCTTTTCGCTGTATATTGCCAACAACCATATTGTCTCTTATTGAATTTTTTGTAGCTTTGACAACGAAAGGTTGTACACTTTTCAGAAATGCAGCAGAATAGGTCATGCGATTAATAAACATGATGATATATTAAAACAAACAAAAATAGATAACTTGTTGAAATATCTAGATGACAGGAAACAGGTAGCCCAGATGCTCAAGCAGGCCGCCGAAATGACTTTTCTCCCACCCCTAGGGAGAAGTGACCATGCAGTCATCTTATTTAAGTTCATGGCTGAGATTGCCTGTCAAACAGTTGCGCCGGCTCGACCTAACATATGGAAGGCAGATATGCGGGCAATTAACTCCGCAGCATCGGCTGAAAACTGAGAAATTGACTCAAAGGCATCAGTACAAGAGGCATGGACCCTATTCAGGCAGTTATACAATCGGGTAACTCAACCATACATACCCTGGACTGTCCCAAAGAAAAAGAAGCACGGACATCCCTGGATAGGCCGGGATATTCGACATTTACTAAGACAAAAGAAGAAATACTGGGACGTTGCCATCCGCCTTGGCACAGCAGGTATGATGGAACGCTACAGATCGATAAGAAACGAGTGTATAACAAAAATTCGGGGAGCTCAAAGAAATTATGAAATGCAGCTGGCACAATCTGCACTCAAGCAGCCAAAGAGAATATTTTCGTACATAAACTACAGAACAAGGATGCATCACTGGATTCCCAACCTAATTAAAGTAGGAAGTGAATCTAAAATGATAGAGGAAGATCAAGAAAAAGCAGAGGCTATGGCTGACTATTTTGGGGCAGTTTTCACTCAGGAACCTCCTCTAGAGAAAGAACCAGACCCAAATATAGAGTCAACAAACCAACTGCTCACCGTGGACTTCGACCAAAACGATGTGCTTAAGGCTCTTAGCACCCTAAACATGGAGACGTCAACAGGACCAAATGAACTACACCCCAAAATCTTGAGACATATTGCCCAATATATCGCGGCCCCACTGACTGTGATATTCAATATGTCACTTGACCGAGGTGTGTTACCTATGGACTGGAAGGACGCAATCGTCACTCCCATACATAAAACAGGTCCACGACAAGTTCCATCGAATTACATACCCGTAAGCCTCACCAGTGTGGTAATTAAAATACTGGAAAGAATAATCAAACGGGTCATAACGGCATTTATGCAAACCAATAACTTGCTAAACATGGCACATGGTTTTAGAAAGGGTCTATCCTGCACAACGAACCTCCTTATAGCTATGGAGTTCTGGATTAATGCGCTAGACAAAGGAAACGCAGTGGATCTGACAGTTTCTGACTAAATCCAACTTAGCTTAACGTTCAATTCGTAATTAGATTGATTTTTACTGTAGACACTAATTTCCTTGACCAAAGTTTATTCCTACCTTGTCGCACTGAGCTACCTACACGCGATATTGTACATGATTATTGTCCCTTCAATGTAAATATATGCCACCCTGTTGTCCCTATGAGAAGGTAAGGCATTATTAAATGTCAGTTTTTATGATCTCGCGAATGCAATTTACCAAAATTATGAAAAATACTTTGTATGAAAATGAATTATAACTGATCCAACGTTTTTCAATCTCGTTATATACCTTCCCTTCCTCCTCTCATCGAAACGTTGTAAAATAACCTTGTTCTGTTAGTCACAAAGTTTACTACATTTAGACGGAACAACTGAAGCACGGTCTGACTTGTTCGAAAGCGAAAACGACTTGTCATTCAATATAAGAAAATAAGGAGTTATACAGCCTGCATCCTAAACGATAAAGGCAAACATAGTCCAGTTTTCTACATACATTTTATGACGAACTTGTTTTAACATTCGTGTTTAAATGTGAATGTGCTGTTTCTACATTTCCTTGTTTTTTTTTCTGAAATGTCGTTCTGTTTTTATACCAACAACTTCTCTATCGTATTCAGATTAACGTTAACCCTAATAAAACCAAAGTTTTATTATTGATCATGCGGTTGTAGATGGCTTAACACAATGATTACGTTATGGAAATAAATTGCTCTGAGAAAAGAAAAACAATGGATTTAGACGAAAGTCAGCGGTTTTAATAAAAGTACTAATAAGAAATCGAATCCCAGGAAATAATATATCGGAAACGTTTTCTAGCTTAATCACACGGGAAATAGTACTTTGGCTAGATTTTATTATTCTTGAATAATGTATGGGAAAACTTAAATTGCCGATCGACTCAGTCACAACACATCATCTAACATTACTCAGTAAAGGAATTTCACATCGAACTATGCAAACATTCATGTCATCTAGCAGTACCACTTAGGTACCTTCATGTAACAGTCATAATTTTCGGATGGTATAACTGGAATAATGTCTTTTCGAAAAGAGTTGATAACAATTTATAGAACAGGAGAGATCATTTATTATACATTACGTATATAAGAATATATCATTCGTAGATAATTTTTGAAAAGAATGTGTAATCATTCTAAGAAGATTTTACAGATTATATATAATGACGGATTATGGAGGGATAATGTGCAATAAAAACCAATGGAAATTATCCGTTAAATGAGACAAATAAATAAATAAACGAACAAATACTCATGTGTTTTATGTATAGAGAAGCACAAAAAATAATCATGGCAGATAACCGGAAGGATATTAACAATGTTATGTTAAAAGTTACTGTTTAACGATTATTTGGATTGTGATGACGAACATGACGAAGTATATCTTTTTTAGTCAATACACCAAGAGGACACCTAGATCGGGGGAGAAACACAGAAACGAACATATTGAAATACAATTCAAAAACGATAGCGTATATACGTATACAGTTTAATGAACGACTAGTCATGTAACTCAGCTTTTCACCATACTTCAACCAACCACTAGGTATACTAACCTCCTGCAAAAGATGAAATCCAAATGCTCTTAAGTGCTATATTTTTTTCATGTTCGAAGGCACCGAACCAGGATAAATTGTTTAACGTCACAGAATGAGCTATGAATCTCAAAATGAACGAATTTTATTTACTGACAATATGTTTCATTTTGTTTATTTGCATTTGCACTGATAATGTAAGAGTGCATGTATGGAAATTCACAATAATCAAAACTTCATTTACATATTACATTCAGACTATTAGTTTCTAAGTAGTACTGATTAAATTGAAAATAGTTTTCAATATAGAGTAATACCATAATGTGATGGTTAACGAAAGGCAATTTCAATATGATGGACGTGACTGTCAAGATTGGTGAGTGGATCCGAATATGAAACTATGTGGATTTAGGTTCTCAAACTTACCAGCAATAAAATGTAGGGTGAGTGAAACAGAAAAACATAGTAAAAATATAAGGCTATGAGTATAAAAACTAGGACGCATGAAGCTGGATAAAACCCTTTGATTTTTCGAGGTATGAAAAGGATGCACTTGTGAGATTACCATGGGTTTTCAGTCGCATCAAACGCTTCCCTATTTGAACGTTCTTAACTTCAAGATTCAGAATAAAAGCATTGCGTGATTGATACTGAGTATTAATCAAGTGATTCGAAGCTTCTAATTAATCTATATGAACACTATCCAGCACAATATTTCGAGGAAGAATTTAGTTTCATCTGCATAACGCAATTTAATTGACCTCAGTCAGTGGATGTTAACTAGCTCACTGACTACTTGCATTAAGTTTGGCGTTCAGCATTTTTTTATTATTTATTACTGATTATATGACTGCAGTCCGGACCGTAGCTGCTACCTTGACGTCATGGTCAAGCATGCCTGTCGTGATGACCCAACCGAGGCATATTGGCTGGAACATATGTTTCTGTAGGTTCTACCATGCCATGCAGCTCGATTGGAGAACGGTAAGACTGAAAGCAGCAACTCAAGGTCTGAGGGTGAAGTCGTACTGCTGAATGTAGAGGGGTGTGACAGTAGTAAGGTGTTTCCCTCGGGCAACCAGCATCTGCAGCGATGCTGCCTTCTCACAAGGAAGGAAGGGGTTAGAAAAGGTCAACCATAAAAATGTCACACCTCACCTTACCTCACCGATTTCCGTCTCCGGTGGTGAGGTATTTCGAAGAACGGAGCTAACACGTTAAAACATCCTACAAAAAAGCCGAGGGTGTCCGACCCCAAGTACTTGTCCTTTGGACTCTGTAGTCTCACTTTCAAGTCGTTAGGACCAACACTAATCCAACCTTCTTTTTCATGTTTCTCAAGAAATAACCTCCCACGGAGTAGGGCAGCCAGTAAGTGACATAAGCCCTCATACCCGTAGCAGCGCATGAGACCAAGTTGGTCACAATCAAATCCTCCATACACTTCCTAATAACTCTCTTATCTTCACGACTAAACCTTCTCACGTTCTTTTATCGCCTCGCGCCGCTAATGCGAACGATTCGAGTACGCGTAGCGTTATTCCCGGTCTCTTAAAACCACGCTCTAAACTATATGTAGGAGCTTTTAACGTCTGAACACTGTGCCAAATAAGACAACAGACTTCCTTAACTAGTAATTTAGAATCTCGCGCCATCGATGTATGCTGCGTCTCCGAAACGCGCATACAGAGTCCAGGTAGCGTCATTCATATGACCTCACCATATCAAAACAAAAAACCATCTCGATTCACGCCTCGTGTGTCTGGAAGCCTTGATGCTGCTTTCCGTGACTTCGTTGGTGCAGGTATAGCATTGAGTCCGACGGTAGAACTAGCTCTCTTAGACTGGATCGCAGTTGACAGTCTATTTTGCGCTATCCAATTAAACGGAACGGTAAGGACTCGGAAAGATAGGGACACTTGTCGTCTGCCTACTCTTTAGGCATAAGGAAAAACATCTTCCGAGATGACGACCTCCGAATTCGTTCCAATGTTAGACCCAACTAGATCACATCGCTATCAGCCACCGATAGAGGGGCTCGATGGAAGACTGTCGCTCGTTTCGGAGCACATGCTTAGATTCAGATAATGTTCTATTGCGAGCGCGCATTTGTCTGCGTCTTACTGGACGTAGGTAAAAACGCTGCAAGTAAATCTCTTGGGGTCCTACTTAATGATAGAAAAGCTAAGAATATATTTCAGGAACAACTAGAAAAACAGTTAAGCAGCCATGTAATTGATGCCCACCACGAGGCAGAGTTCAATGATATCCGAAGACCTGTGCAAACATTAGTGATATCTGCTAGTAAGGTAAACCATAAGGTTACGGAGAAACAGTGGATCTCAGCAGCACCTACCTCACTGATAGATGCTCGGAAACACATTCCATCTGGCTCTGAATATGATGAAGAGCAGAGTAAGCTTAAGCGCAGGCTGATAAGAAGCCTACGCAATGATCGCGAACAGTGGTGGGTATCTAAAGCAAGAGAGATGGAAAAGGCAGTGACAGTAGACAGAAGCAGACAACTGTTCAGACTTGTCAAGGAAACCGCTATTAGGAATCCAACTGTTAGAGAAATGATCTCGGAAACAGATGGACATATTATTCATTCTCAATTCAGGTGATTGGATCGGTGAGCAGAACACTTTAGAGATCAGTTCAACTGACCTTCAGTTTTCAAAGATCTCCAGTCGAACTAAAAAGAGAAGTTGATGTAAGTCCTTAAACTCTTCACAAAGCTGAAAAAGCTATAGGAAATCTGAAGCATGGAAGAGCAGCAGGTTCTGACAGATTTACGCCTGAGATTTTTAAGGATGGCGGTCCAGTTTTAGAGGAGAGATTGACTGAAGTTATAGGAAGAATCAGGGAACTGGACGTAGTCCCGTCTGACTGCACAAAAGTCCTCTTGTGGCAATCACAGAGGAATCAGTTTGACTAATATAAGGTCTAAAATATTAGCTTCAATAATACTTCGACGCCTAATCAAAGCTCGTGAAGAGCAGACTAGAGAAAATCAGGCTGGTTTTTGACCTGGACGTGGTTGTATAGACCACATATTCACACTACGTCAGGTTCTAGAACACAGACACACATTCAGACGCCCCACAATGGTAGTATTTCTCGACCTTAAAGCAGCATTCAACTCTGTTGATCGTAAGGTTCTGTGGCAGTGTTTGTCACTGAAAGGAGTACCAAAGAAGTACATTAACCTTGTAAAGGCTCTCTATTCGAACACAACTGGCCGAGTGAGAGCTTATGGCGAAATGTCATCAGAATTGATTACCTCAAGTGGTGTTTGTCAGGGCTGTTCACTCTCTCCATTCTTGTTTAACTCTGTCACTGACGTGCTTTTAGAGATAACAACTTCCTCATCCAAATTTCCAGTTCAACTTTTACCGGGAGATTCACTTGTTGACTTAGAATATGCCGATGACATAGTTCTATTTGGTGAAGACGCTGACAAAATACAGAGTCTTTTGACCACCGTACACAACAATGCAAGCATGTTCGGGATGCAATTCTCCCCCCTCGAAATGCAAAATATTGCTTCAGGATTGGGTTGCATCGGCACTTGAACCAATGATAGGGAGTGAAGCAGTTGAGCGTGTCAACCTCTTCACTTATCTTAGGAGTCTCATCAGCCCTAGTGGTTTGGTATGTAACGAAATTTCAGCGTAGATACAGAAGCCTTAACTAGCTTTTGCCAACTTGCGTCATTTATGCCGGTGAGAGTAGAGAATATTCGTAGCTTACTAGTATTCGATCATAGGTGTCTTCGAAGCATTGCTCGTATTTCCTGGGACCACTGAGTAAGTAATTCAGTTGTTAGGAAACGGGTACTAGGTAAGGATGGCAAATCAATTGATGAAGTAGTGAAGCGTCATCAGCAGAGATGGCTGGGACATTTGTGACGTATATCCAACCACCGACTGCCCCGACGAGCGATATTTTCTGGTGTAGGAGTAGGTTGGAAGAGAGCTAGGGACAGTCAGACCAAAACACGGCACAAATCTATGAAGTCACTGACAAGTGGACTCAGCCATGTTGGTAGGTGTAAAATACTTGATTGCGATCCGCGAGACGATAGCAACCGATGGTTAGAGACCTTGAATGTCATGACTCAAAGTCGTTTACAATGGCGCAGGTGCATCCACTCCTTTTGTTCTCCCAAATTCTAGTCTTCTGAATTTTTCATGTCCCTTTCTTTTTTCTCTTTCCAAATTTATTTCACTGGATTATACCTCTACCACTATGAGATTTGAATCGACCACTGGATCTCTGTGCTAATGTGGTATGGCAACTCGAACTGATGTATGTAAATACGAAGTCCTACGTTGTTACTGACTGACTGACTGTTCATCAGGATTTGCTACTTCCATTTTTATTTAACCCGGTTAAAGATAATCGATTGGAGATAACAATCTTATTGTCTGACTCATCAGAAGTTGATCGCCCACCAGGAAATTCTCTTGTTGACTTGAAATACGCAGGTGACATAGTTTGTTTACTAAAGGCACTGACAAAATGCAGTCTTCTGAACATCGAGGGATATCATCAGTTCGTCGTTGTTGATTTGGATGTCCTTAATTTGGTTCAGGAATTGTGTAGAGGATTTGATTGAGTGGTTGGCTGAATCTACTAAATGTCTCAGTATTCGTGAAATTCCTTTTGACAAATTGTATGTTGGCGTTCCGGGGAGTGCTACTATTGGACGTAGTGGAATGTTTGGTTTGTGCATTTTGGGTCTACCGTAGAATCGAGGGAGTACTGGTCCACTGGATTTCATTCTCCATTGGTCTTGTTTTGTTATTTCTCCTGCTTTGACTAGCTTGTCTAAGGTCTTTGAGATTTGCTTGTCTAATTTTTTGACGGGGTTTGTATCCATCAGTTTGTATGTGCTCTTGTCTTCCAGTAGTTCTTCGGCTTTTTTGAAGTATTCTTCTTTGTCCATGATTACTGTGGTGCGTCCTTTGTCCGCTGGTGTTATGACAATATCCTTTCTATTTTTGAGTTCTTCTAAGGCCTTTTGTTCTTGTGGAGTCAGTTGGTTGTTTTCCTTCGCCTGTTGAGTTAGCGGTACTATAGTTTACCTTATTTCTTGTTGTGTTTCTTCACTGATTCCCGAAGTTTTGAGTGATGACTCCAGTGCTGCGAAAAATTCCAGCTTTGAGGCGTCGCTTGTATTGTAGTTTAATCCTTTTTGGAGTAGGTGTTCTTCCGTATTTGTTAGTGGTTGTTTTGACAAATTGATCATGCAGTTGTTTGTGTTTTCTTCCATGGGTGGTTTTGAGATCTTGATCAGTTTTTTCTTTAAGGCGTTTCTTCTTTGTTCTCTGCATGATATCTCGATGGCTGCTGTCAAGATTTCCAAGTGTTCTGACGTAAGTGTCCTTTGTAGCTTCATCTTTTCGTCCTCTATGACGTGTTGGTATTTGCGGATTCTGTAGTGTGCATCCGTTATCATTAGGTGTACCATTTTTCTTCCACTTTGCTTAGCTATTTTCCATCCTAATGGGCAGTTGATTGGAGGTCTATATCTTACACTTGTTGGTAGAACATGCTGGCGAAGACACTCATGGAGAAAATATAGTTGTTCTCGAGTGGAAGCCTGCCTTTTGGCGAAATTCTCCCATTTGCGAACAACGAGAAGCGTATTACGCTCATATGAGCGTAATAGTCTTCTGAACACCTCAAGCGTTAATCCAAGCATGTTTGGGATATATTTCTCTCCATCAAAATGTGAAATGTTAGTTAAGAAAATGGTTGATGTCAACCCCAGAACAAATGATATAGCGTGAAGCAGTTGAGTGTTTCGATCACTTCACTTATCTTAGAAGTCTCATCAGTCTCTGACGAAATCCCTACGTAGTTTCAAAAGGCTTGATAGACTTTTGCCAACTTGCGTCACTTATAGCGTAGGCAAGATATTAATCTACCAACTGAAGGACGAGTTTACTGCTCAGTATTTTGTTCCGTTCACCTTTATGGCTATCAAACGTGGCCTTTAAAAGTAGAGGATATCCGTAGATCACTTCTATTCAATAATATTTGCCTTTAAACCACTGCTCGTACACTTTGATACCTTTGAGCTTCATCAGTTGAAATAAGTTATAACTATCGCCAATAATTATAAATACACATATTTTTCTGTATGTTTTTAATTCTCTGCACGCTGATTGGCTAATTCTTAACCAATCAGCACTAGTCGATAGTTGGAGAACACTCTAGAATCTTCTCATGTAGGATACTATAAATATACTGACGTTTTTCTCTATTGTGCTTCTGACTTCCATCTAACCTTGTTATTTGGAATATAATCTCTTCCTGTTCAACCGTGTTTTGATTTGGGGACTTGTCCACTGAAGATATCTTAGAGAGGTTCCTGTTTATTTATCGCTCTACACCGAACCCTCAGACAATTAACGGGGTCTCTCCAGCAGAAGCTCTACTTGGCAGAAAGATACGAACACATTTCGATGCCATCCGTCCTACGCCAGCTATTGAACCCCAACGAAACCTATCGATGGAGAATCAGTTTAACCGACATCATGGGGCACAAAGACGATTGTTCACGGTGGGACAAAAAGTGCTTGCTATGGACTATCGTGGGAAACACCCTACATGGACAGCTGGTCGGATCGTGAAAAAGAAGGGGAGTGTGGTTTACGAGGTGTCAGTTGGCTCGGAAGTTTGGGTACGTCATGCTAACCAATTGAAAGCAACTTCGATAGCCAGCAACAAGATTCAATATCGATTACCTCTTGATGTTCTGCTAGACACCTTTGAAATCAAAACGCCGGGAATAGACACGTCAGTTTCTGTGCAAGAAAAGAGTGATACTTCACTATTGCCTAGACGATGGACTAATCGAAAGCACAGGCCAGTCACTCGGTTGCAGTTGGACCCTAGCACCAGATCCTACGAATCTGCTCAAAGGGGAGGTGTTAGCGGGACATAGACCGGATTAAAGCATGCTCAATGCATGATTGCTTTGGTGCACGCTGATTGGCTAATTCTTAACCAATCAGCACTAGTCGATAGTTGGAGAACACTCTAGAATCTTCTCATGTAGGATACTATAAATATACTGACGTTTTTCTCTATTGTGCTTCTGACTTCCATCTAACCTTGTTATTTGGAATATAATCTCTTCCTGTTCAACCGTGTTTTGATTTGGGGACTTGTCGAGTGAATCGGTGTCCGAGAATACTAAGCAATAGGAATAGCGGGGTCATAACCGTAAGAAACTCACCCTACAAACACTTCATCTATTTTCTAATTTTGGACTATGAGGGCTCTACACGTTCGAGTGCTGTCAGCTGTATATCGTGTGCTGAGTTAATCAAGTAGAAGGGGTAACAGAGACTAAATGCCAAAACTTATGAAAGCAGATCATTACGTTTTGCTGATCAGCTTTGCTTCAACTTAACTATATCCTAGGTAACTATAATAAATGTTACTGTCATATGAAATTCGCTCTCGCGTCGTGAATTTTACCGACACGAAATGCAACAAGCTAAGTGGACATAAATAGTAGAAACGATAATAAAGATAATTAGACAGTTTTTTACAAGTCTATCACTACTACTGAATGAAGTATTTGACAATTACTAAAAATTTGATTACACTTAGTAAACAAAAAAAAAACGTTTACTAACCCATTACGTGTAACAATGATTTGTCGGAGGCCCAACTTTTTAAAGAAATCCAAAACTGTTTCCATCGGTGTATGATCCGATACCGTTGTAGGAGACTAAATGGTAAAAGGACACATAAATCGCCAATAACAGTGAGTTAGGACACAATTAAACGGTTTGAAATTAGAATAAGTTACAAATGATACACACTGCCTGGACCAAAACACCAAAAGTAAAAAACAAAGATAAATTGTACAAAGAGTTTACTGTAGACAATTATTCACAATTGAAGCATGTGTGTATTTTTACAGGTAGTGATATATACAACCGTGATCGTTTTTGGTTAAATGAGTAAAATGTCGACTTTTCATAGCCGGTCCAGGCTGGTAATCGATTTATTAGCTTATCACATAGTTTCCTAAACCCTGTCTGTTTAGCTTGATGCACTGTGAAAGACATTAAAAAAAGGAGAAATATGGTGGTAGGATCTTGTATTGCAAAACAACAGTCAGAATTGATCATGGAGATACTTAACAGGAAAAACTGAATTACCAACTGTTCATCTACACTTTTTAAAACATATACAGTCAATAAACAAATATGAATAATTTTGATACAGGGGAACGCGAGTTCATAAATATATACGATAATTTAGACCAGTAAATAATAAAATGACTACTGGAACACGTTTCTTTTAAAATAAAAACGAAAAAACACTATAACTAAATAGGACGTTAAGGTCACCGTGAAACGGTTTTACTGTTATTTGGAAAACTGATAAATCAATAAACATATCGTAAACTATGGAGTTAATAATAGCAACAACAATAACAATAATTTATTACGGGATATTAGATTACAAAACGTACCAAATCAACAATATTTTGTAAGTTGACAGGTGTCAATTCCTGATTATCATTTGCATATACTTCCTGAAATGTAGCAAAATGAACTGGCGAATCATCGACAATATTTGAATCATATTTTCTTTCACGATCTATTCATTATATAGATAATAAACAGGTAAAACCAATATTTATCTATGGTAAACAGAACCATTGAGATGAGCATATAATAAAAACTATTTCTCAATCAAGTTCCATGACAGAAATGAGTAAACAAAAATACAGACAAGTAGAACAACGTAAAAACTATCCACCCACCTAGCCATCCCGAAAAGTAAGCAATCGGTGTTTTAAAATTGGTTTGCAAGTAAAATTAGTCAATGGGATAATAGATGATAATGACTATTCACAACTAGATTTTAATCATTATACACTGTTTTACTGACTGAGCTACACAAGACACTTTAAACAAACTGATGTTTTCGAGATAGGTATCTACTACAATTAATAGAATTATTCAATGAAGAATTATTTAAGTAATGACGTTGATTGGCTGGAGGTAGAAGGAAGGAAACATGAGATCTAGTTTCTAAGTCAGTTTAGCACTCGTTAGCAAAGTGCCGCTGCAAACATGAGGGGGATAATGTATCTCTTGAGGTGTATGTTATGTTACCGCCACTAAACTCTTGTAGCACTACGATATTTACAAACGAAATGGGTGTCGAAACCGCATCCTTACGAATACATTCATTCAGTTAACATCAAAAATTAGTATTTGAATGACTTAATTCTGACTGAATTGTTGCTGAAAGTTTCACGACTAAGCCATCCAGCTCCAAGAACGAAAGACCATCAAAATCATCCATCCGAGTTACAAGTATTCATTAACTCATATTGTAAGTTGTAACTATCAACAGTCATCAGTTATATAAATATCTGACGAAAGATTCAAAAGATAAGTATTTATTAAATACAAAACGTTATTTGAGGTTAATGTGAACCAACATTTAATTAATTCTGTAATCAACATTCACTTCTGACAAAAATAGTTTACACAATAAATCAATTACATCAATCAATCTACAAACATTTAGGTAATCGAAAAGATTTTTAATTAAAATTGGTTTAGAAAAATCTCACATAGGAATTCTACTTGTACCTACTGAACATAATAACGTTTACCTATCAACGCATATAAGTAGATATCAACAAATCACAAGCAAAACACTTTATAATAATTCAAAGATAGTTTCCTAATAGCTTACCCAAAGCCCAACGTAACTCTCTTCTTGAAACCCATCCAACTAGGTATGGGGAATCTTGTGAAACAACGACAGGAAATCCTTTAACATCACATCCACTAACCAATTGGTCTAGATCACCAACTGTCATATCATATTGTGTAACAACATATAGAGGGGAATTAGAATCTCTGAAAAATCAGATGGAAACATTATAGACAATAACGAGAAAGGAAAAAGGAATAAGACAAGTCAATTAATTGACGTTATCAATAACGAAATCGTATTGAAAACGCATGCATATAGACATGTTGCTATTTCCCGAATACAACAAAAAAGTCTAATTTCAAAAACAAAATTTACCAGCAAATCAGGCGACATGATGACACAGAACGTCATCTTGTCAAACTGATTATATATCCAATGGAAATAACATTAAGATTAGCAAAGTGGCTTATCGATAAGAGGAAATCTACAATCAAACAACCTCTTCTATGTTAGAGCTCTATTGTACCTACTTCAGTTTGAACAATCATTGAAATATCACTAGTTCTCAAGAAATATGTTTACTTTGATACCATGCGCACAAACGTGTACTTAATTGCTAAGTTGCACAGTATGTTTATTACTTACTTAGGCCTGTTAACCCTCGTGTAGGAGGTTAAGCCGCTCACCAGGATTCGCCATCCAACACTCTCCTGGACAATCCTTTTCAGTGCTTTACAGTTGCTACCCATCATTTACATGTCAGCTTACGTCGTATGAATTCCAGATCATGTACTCCATAGTGTCGAAGAAGTTTCCATAATATTTTCCTATCCACACTGTCAAATGCTTTTTATAGTCAAGGAAGTGTGATGTCTCTGTAGGTGAATTCTCACACTTGCTCAGATCTCTTTTTTTTGGTATCTTGATGAGGTATCTTTCTCTCCAACCTGTCAGTACCTGTTTTTCTCCCAAATATTCCTAAATAAAATGCGAAGTATGTTTTCAGTTACCTCTGTGTCTAACTTAAGTGCTTCAGTTGGTGTATTGTCAGGTCCTAATGCCTTCACACTGTAAGAATTGGAGCTAGTGTCTGAGAGCTATCTTGAATTGGTTGAGTTTGTGAGTATCTTGAAGGAAGACTGCACTCAACTATTGTAATTCTGTTTCACCGGCTGCCCAGTGTTTCTTTAGTTTCAGTTTCATGTTGGCAATCACCAGGTGGTGGTGATCTGAGACTGTGCCAGCTCCTCTCATCACCTGGCTGTCACGTCTTTCACTGACCCTCTGGATTTTTCAATGATGTAAATATGATTGGTGTGGTTCTGTGTAGTGTGATCCGGTGAGACCTAAGTAGCTTCGTGTATGCGTTTGTGGGGAAATATAATGCCAAACATAAACGATTTGTTGAATGCACATAGATTTACAAATCTGTCACCATTCCCATCCTTTTCTCCCAGTCAATCCATGTTGTCCCATGATATCTTCGTACTCGATGTTGTCTATTCCGACCTTGTCGTTTAGATCTCCCATCAGGATGGTGACACCCTTTTATTGGGAACTTCGATATGTTTGATTGCAGCCTCTCACAGAACTGATCTTTATTGTCACCGTTGCTATCATTGGATAACATTCATTGTGATCTATTCCTTCTTTGTTTCGAATGATGCTCTGACGATTCTGAGTCCACGAGATTCCCATCCTATCAGTGCTTCACAGACTTCTTTGTACAGCATCAGAATAACACCCTGAATGTGTGTGGAGTATTTTCCTCTTCGTGACCTGAATACAATAGCAACATTCCTGTATCTAGTCTTTTCTGTCCAGCTTGGGTCCAATGGTTTTCACTGTTTCCGAGCAGCACCAAGTTGTATCTCATCATTTTCGTAGCTGTTTGACTGGTTCTCCTGGTCTTTCACAGTGTCCGGACATTCCGTGTATTTATATTAATTGTTGCTCTGGTTGTTAAAAGTGGCATCGACCTCGTGACTTGTGAAAAGTCTGGGCTTTCATCACGAGGCGTCATAATTCTTCTAGATGAAGATTCTTGAACTCTCATGTCAGAGTTTTTTCTGTTGGATGGGCTTGCCGACTCCATGTACGACCCTTGTCCTTTGTGTGGGACTGTCGGTAACCCTATAATAGCTACAAGCGGAGTCTTACGAAATTCGAGTGACTTATTATTATATTACTACAATGAAATAAATTCAATATGTTTTGACATTAGGAAATCAGCTAGTCATCACAAGTAATTGTTAATAGAGTTATTGGTTGACGGGATCTGAATGGCGTTGCTCCGAATATACCATGTAAGCGTCACCTACTTTATTTGAAATTTCGGATTCACTTTATTAATTATTACAACAACAATCAATAAATTTAACCAAGTGGGCACTTTTGTATCTGACCATCCAATTTACATACTTGGAACAGCATTAATACTTTAAAGAACATTTTAACCTGTAAAAAAAATAACTATCAATAAGTTTAATGGAAATTGTGATACTTGGCTTATTCATTTTTGATATTATGAACCAGTTCCAGTTACACCTCAACTGGGAACCAAGGAGGTACTGCACAGCTATTTCGTTCTAGTATGGGACTCTTCATCTGTGTGTATCCATGACTCCATCAAAATGGATTGAACCTAAGACCTTCGCTCTTACGTGAGAACGCTTAATCTTGAAACTAACGAACTGATATCCAATCGTGTTTGTCAAACTTCAACCAAATATTCATTGTTTATTATTTTTCCAGAAAGAATGGTTTGATAATTAATAGTATTTGAATTATAGCACAAACTAAGAATACCAGAAATAACGGAATTGGATAAGGAAGTACTAGATAGACACAAACCAATGTACTGTATTTTGAATTCCATCAGTAAAAAGGAATCATTATTTCATACAAATATCACAGATGAATATTAACGAAACTCAACAAATAATTCAATTAATTTATAACAATAAATATTGTAATAAGGCTGTTATTGATACCACAGAATGGAGATAACTGACAAACAAAAAAGAACGATAAATGTTAACGATTAAAATCAATTGATCTAGACATGTTATGCTATCAACTGAAATTATTATATCTTTATGGTTGTAATTGATTCATCTCAATATAGCACACTAGTTGAATGGTCTAAGATAACAATCTTTCCATTAGTTTGACAAAATTCACGTAATCTACATCTCAGTGACTTTATGAACTGATGTCACATTTTAGTTTGACCACCATTAGCTTCCATCCAACCTACTATAAGGCAAGTTAGTGTTGAGTATAGTTATGTATAACTTGTACACATTTGAACTAGGTCTTAAGTTGTTTATGTCTGTTTCATGTTTATAAACTGAACAACACAAAGTAGTTCCAAATGTTTTAGCCAGGGTAATGAATGAAATTCCTTACGAAGTCAAATAGAAAAAAAGGAGATAAAAACAGAAGACTGACAAAGACATTGTACAATTAAAGGCATTCTAACACGTACACTTAATTATACATTGAATAATAATAATAATAATAATCTACTTCAGTTAGTCTAAATTCAATAAAATATGCATACACTAGTCATGACTAGTAAATCTCATTAACATAAAAAAAAATCCTGAATGAACAACAACAAAATACAACTATCAATCAATCTTATCAAATAATAACATGATTTATAGACACGTTTACAATAAAGTATTTTCCAATATTTTCAATACATTTATAAAATATAGACGATTACAATCATTCAAAATGATTAGTAAATTCGGCGAAATTATAATTTATGAACTGACCAATCAGATATAAGATAACAGATATGGGATTTTGGCGTGAAGTTCAGTCATCCATTTGGTTAAATAGTGTTTTGGCATTTTAGCTGATGTCGGTTCGTGATAAAAACCCCAAGTCTTATTCCTAACCCTAACCATTACCTATAAATCCTAATGATAACTCGCCATACTGGTTTATAATCGTCAATTACTTTTGGTTAGTAGGTGAACATTCTCAAGGTCAATTTAGCGTCGATCAATGGTCGTCCATAAATTACGGTCTCACCGTAAATTCAACAAATGAATAAATTATGATGGCCGATTTAATCAGTTATTCTTATTGAACCTAATAAATCTTTAAATCAAGAGTATTGACTGTTTTATCCAGAACAAACAAAGTTACAAGGAAGATACCTAAGTTAATTATTTCCATTAGTTGATGAGAGAATTATTCGACACTAAACATTCAGTATTAATCTATACCGTTACATCAATCCAATCCAATAAAAATTTCACCTGATAAATGAATTGAATAATTAATTAAACAAAAGATTACTTACACACGTCCTTAATTGTAACTCTACTATTAATAAAATCATCTTTACAGCAAGTGAATTTTCAATTGCATTCAGAATCCTAATTATTTATTAAACGTCACTCATCTATCTAAGTAAAAATTCGTTTAAGCCATAGTTTGTGTGTACGGGCTAGTGATACTATCCAGGTACGCCTCTCTTCCCTGGAACTGTAGTACATACAGCGGAACTCGAAACTAACACGTAGTAATTCAAAGTCGAACACCCACTCTTCACACTACTCCATGACATCTAGCCACAATCAAAATATTATCAAGTTATGAGTTACAAATAAAGAAATAAAGAACAATAAAAATTCTTTGAAAAGTAAAATTGTATACTCACCTACGTGGATGCATTACATCAGCTGCTACTAATGTATTATCTAATTCATCATACGATCCAAGATATGGATAATCATTCAATCGTATATGCTCTTCGTAAATACTACCATTTGTTAATCGATCACCAGTCCATTTACTAACCATAGCTGCAATCATTAATGGAATTATATAATTTAAACTAAAAATGGTATTTTTTTTTTAATAAAAAAAGAAAAAGGAAAACGTACATAATTATTGTTAATCACAAGATACACAATAGACAATAATGAAATAATGAATAAAACGTTGTAACAACAAGAATGATGATGAAACGAAATCCAGTTTTTTCCTGTTGAACACGTCATTAAAATATTTGTTCAAACTTTCAAAATCACTCTCATAATGACAATAATCTTAAACACAGTAGGTAGAGAAAAAAATATATCAGTATACTTTCTTTTTAAGAACAAGTACAACAGTGACAGCCCCACAAAGTATTGAAACAAACAATCTAGGAGTAAGTTTAAAATTCACCATCTCGAATTATGAAAATCTGTTATATGATAAGGTAAACGAACAAAAAGAAGTCCATATGAAAACTATAGTGATGTAAGATGCAACAATATAAACCGTTATGCAATAAACACAGGTTGCTTATTGTTTCTAACTGCCTACTCAAATAATTCGCATGAATATGTAATGAAACGAAACAATGCCTTGGATGACATATAACAAGATAATATACTGTATATAGTTTGCAAATTTCTTCTAACCAACTAATTGAAAGTAAACTGAAATGAGAAACTAACTAACTGAATACTAATGCATTTGTCCATCATCAACTATGAACAATATTAAACTTTCTGAACACTTGTAAATTTCTATGATACAATATTTTCAATCAGAGAATAAGTATGTTGTGGGAAATAGATTTCCATCCATATTTCTAAGCTTATGCTTCATTATAAATAAGAATAAGGAGATATAAATAAATTTAATGACCCTGAAAAAAAAATACTGCAGCATGACATTCTGCTTTCACGATCAGATAGTAACTGAGATAATTAATTTGTACAAAACTTTAAAAAAAAGGAAGAATGAAAATGAAAAAATGAGACATGTTATCTCTATCCTATGGGTAAGTTAATCAAATAATTGATACAGATTAATCAATGAAAAAATAGAAGAATCCTATTACATTGATTGATGCAATATGCTTCGAAATTATTTAGTTAAGAGTAGTCAACAGGAATGCTTGAATCTAGGTTTCGCATAGGTAGATATGCATCAGCTACCCGTATCTACATTCATGAAGGAAGTGATGCTTTACGTGAAATCGTTTGTTTGTTATTTTGAATGGATGTGAATTTTAAAATACCACAACGACAAATACATTAAAACGCAGGGTATCTTTGATTAAGTGTCATCTTATATAATTTAATATTAGCAGAGAGAACATCTAAAAGGAAGGATGTTTACGGATCTTGCTTAATTTAAAGTGTGTTGTCAACACAAGTTAACATCAGTAAAAAACTGATTCGTTTTAGTTTAAAACACTCATAATTCATCAAGGGACTAAACCCATGTGACATGATACTGGATGTTGGCAGCATATTATAATTTGGTATGATGTTGATTACTGTTGTTAGTGGTGCGGCTATTTCCTATAACTGTGGAATAGCTGCTGCTTACTACGACGGACAAGACTGTTATGCCATCGCAAGGAGACTGTAGGTGGAAAATTTTTTATTCAATAACTGCTAATTAAAACAACATCAAAAAGATAACAATGAAGTATATAACGTTTTAAATATTCAGTCAATTGGTAACTTTGAATGTCTTGAGCGAGCAGTAGTCGACATTGGATGAGAATAATTCGATGTGTTTATATAATTTACAAAACCAATAAATTAACTGTCTTAGCTAAGAGATACAACTCATCACTGAATCATGTATTTGCTTTCTTCTTAAAACGGAACAATTTGGTTTTCTTATGTTTTATTGATATTGAAGTAAGTTTTCCGTTCGACTGATATAAAAGAGCTCCATGCTTTTGATATTATTCGATATTTGCCTTTTGTGTATTACCTGTTATTCTCTACTATTCCTCGTTTTGTAGTTTTGAGGAGAGTGTTGAAAGCAGTTGGTAAAGATAGATATTTAAAACCTTTTAAACTTCTGAAAGTGTTGTCTTATCGCATATAAACCACCAACTCCATTCACGTCTTTCTCCTTGTGTATTTTCTGGTGTAACTCCGACTGGAGCACCCCCTGAGGCTCCTGCCGAGCCCAGGCCCGGATAAAGGAGGAGGGTTGGACATGGGGTTAGCGACCCCATCCCGTAGAAAACTAACTCGCTAAAAAAACGCTAACCAGAAAAAAATTATTTAAACATTTTAAACTCTGCCCTGGGAGCCAGAAGGTCTTCATTTAGAAGAGTTATGACGCCTCATGATGAAAGCCGAATTCCTTCGGAATTTACTAGGCCGATGCCTCTTCTGGAAACCAGAGCAACCATTTATTTAGGTACATGGAATGCTCGTACAATGTGGGAGACCGGGAGAGCCTTCCGAATTGCTGCAGAAATGAGGTGCTTGGGATCAGTGAAACACATTGGACGCAAGTTGGACAACAACGACTAGCTTTAGGAGAGCTTCTGTTATACTCCAGTAATGAAGAAGAAAATGCTCCACATACACAAGGAGTTGCATTGATGCTGTTCAAACGAGCACAAAACGCACTTATAGGATGGGAATCTCATGGACCAAGGATCATCAAAGCCTCCTTCTAAACTAAGAAAGAGGGCATTTCAATGAACATCATCCAATGCTATGCGCCTACCAACGACTACAATGAAGACGCTAAAGATCAATTCTACGATAGGCTGCAGTCAATCATCGAGAATCGCCCAACAAAGGACCTGACCATTCTGATGGGAGATTTAAATGCCAAGGTTGGAATGGACAACACCGGATATGAAGACATCATGGGACGACAAGGACCGGGAGAAAGGAACGAAAATGGTGAGATTTGCAAACCTATATGCCTTCAATAAACTGGTCATGGGTGGCACTTTATTCCCACATATACGCATACACAAAATTATATAGACTTCACTGCATCACATATCTGACCATATCTGAATCAACAAGAAGTTCAGGAGGAGAATGCGAGAACCAAGAGCGAAGCTGATATAGCATCAGATCATCAATTGCTGGTCACCAGGATGAAACTGAAACTTAAAAAGCACTGAACAACGTGGCGGACAATATCACAAAAGTTCAATATGGCCTTTCTTCAGGATACTGATAAACTCAATGAATTCAAGATAGCTCCCAACAACAGGTTCCAAGCCTTACAGGATCTACTGAAAGAAGAAGAAACTACTATAGAGAAAAACTGGAAAAGTATCAAAGAAGCATTAACTTCAACGTGTCAGGAGGTTCTGGGCCTCAAGAAGCATCATCATAAGGAATGGATCTCTATAGAAACACTGGACAGGATCAAAGAAAGGAAGAACGAGAAGACAGTAATTAACAACAGCCGAAAAGGGTGGAGAAAGTCAAGGCACAAGCTGAGTACATAGAAGCAAACAAGCAAGTGCAGGAGAGCATTAGAGCCGACAAGCAGAAATACGTGAAAGAACTAGCAACGACGGCGGAAAAAGCTGCAAGAGAAGGAGACATGAAACAACTGTATGACACATTAAAGAAACTCGCTGGGAACTGACGTAAACGAGAACGATCAGTGAAAAGTAAGGAAGGCAATATTGAAGAACATTGAAACAGGTGGGTAGAACACTTCAAAGAAATCTTGAATCGACTAGCCCCACTGAACCCACCCAACATCGAAGCAACACACAGACCTCCCAGTCGATATTGGCACACCAACAATTGAAGAGATCAGCATGGCCATCATCAAATCAAGAGCGGAAAAGCAGAAATATCAGACAACATTTCAGCAGAGGCACTGAAAGCGGACGTAGCATTAACTGCAATATTACTCCACATTATCTTCAGCAAGATTTGGGATGAAGAACAAGTACCAACAGATTGCGAAGAAAAACTTTCGGTCAAGATACCAAAGAAAGGCGATCTCAGCAAGTGTGATAACTATAGGGGCATCACTCTTCTCTCAATACCAGAAAAAGTCTTCAACAGGGTATTATTAAACAGAATGAAGGGCTTCGAAAACGCCCAACTTCCAGATCAACAGGCTGGATTCCGTAAGGATAGATCGTGTACAGACCAAATCGCAACTCTACGGATCATTATGGAACAATCAATTGATTGGAATTCATCACTCTACATCAACTTCATTGACTACGAAAAAGCATTTGATAGTGTGGACAGGACAAAACTATGGAAGCTTTTTAGACACTCACTTGACTCTTCTATCGCAAACGCAACAACAAATGCAAAAGACGACCAGTGTGGCAGCAGCCTCAACAGCAGTAGGTCTCAATATACACAAAGGGAAAAGCAGGATTCTCCGATACAACACAACATGCACTAATCCAATCACATTTCACGCAAAAAGATTTGGAAGATGTAAAAATCTTTACATATCTCGGCAACATCATTGATGAACACGGTGGATCTGATGCAAATGTGAAGGCGCGGATCGGCAAAGCAAGATCACCATATTTACAACTGAAAAACATCTGGAAATCAAAGCAGTTGTCAACCGACATCAAGGTCAGGATTTTCAACACAAATGTTAAGACAGTTCTACTGTATGGGGCGGAAATCTGGAGAACTACGAAAGCCGTCATCCAGAAGATACAAGTGTTTGTTAGAAGTTGTTTACACAAAATACTTCGGATCCGTCGGCCAGACATTATATCAGCAACAACCTACTGTGGGAGAGAACAAACCAGATTTCAGTGGTGGAAGAAATCAGAAAGAAGCGCTGGAAGTGGATGGGACACACATTGAGGAAAGCACCCAACAGCGTCACAACGCAAGTCCTCACTTGGAATCCTCAAGGCCAAAGAACACATAACTCCGAGAAATGGAGACAGACATGAGAAGAATGAACAACAATTGGATAGAATTAGAAGGGAAGGCCCAGGACAAAGTGAATTGGAGAATGCTAGTTGGCGGCCTATGCTCCTTCACGAGAAGTAACAGGCGTAAGTAAGATACTCTTATCATCTTGAAAACATTCCATTGAATTCCAGATAGTTTTTCTCTCTCTCTCTCTCTCTCTCTCTATATATATATATATATATATATATATATATATATATCGATGGTTCTTTATTCTTAAAAGAACTTATTAAAGTATTTTGTACTAAGAATTCCATACTGCACTAATCATATAATATTGAATAAAACCATTGACAATAATAATAGTGTCGCAAATCGACTAAAGTCGGACACATAGATCACTGGATTCTGATATGGTTGTCTAGAAGTAGCATGTTGGTCGCAAAAACCTGCAAGTCACAAGTTCCATTCTTTCAGTGAGATTATAAGAGGACACTATCACTGAGGAGAATTAATGAAGAATAAAAAGCTTCTATCCAACACCTAATGGTTTTCGCTCATTCACCAACTGATATCAACTTCTAATGATAACAACTTTTGAACTAAAGATTGACTTAGTATAATTTATAGTGAAGAAAAAGCCATGTTTACACATCAAAAGTGACATCAATTTGTGTTTTATGTGAAGTACAATCGACTAGATACTGTTAAACTTCCTATTGAAATCCTTGCTCGTAGTCTAAATAAAATGGGTTAATACAATGAAAATTATGAACACCATAGAGAAAAAACTTATCAGATAGCATTGTTGATGAATCCAAAATCAGTGGAATACGTTTTCAATTAAAATTAGAACCAGAATAAATCAAACCTTAAAAAAATACGGAAATCTCTACAAAACTAACTAATTTCTCATAATTAATTACCAAACCCTACGAATAGAATAACAATAAAGAACATTACATGGAATGACACAATAGTCCAATTAAATTTCTATAACTTTTATGCGATTGTGTCAAGAAGAAAACAATTGACTAATTATATATCTTATTTGAAACAGTTAAGTTATGGATTTTTTTAATCGTATGCATAGAATGAACTATTGATTGAGTAATACCAACACCAGTGCCAGTTCAATACTCATGACATACATGTCAGTATAATTGTATATATCGTTTTAACCAGTCATGAATTATTGGATCAATCTTACTATCCTTATTTGCAGTCACTAATATCAGTCTTTATTTCATTAAAGTAAGTAAGCAAGTAACAGATATCAGCATTTCGACAAATAATAACAATAAAACTAACAAAATAGTAACAGTAAATTTACCCGCCAGTTAACTCAAGCATAACTACAACTAATGATATAGTCATTCTAGTCACACCACCAAGAGTAGCCGCTGCTCCAACCATAGCATAAAGTCCCGGATTAATACACGGTTGAGATGATTTACACATTTTAACAATAAATGGATGTGATGCATACGCTACAACAAGTTGTTCAGTAGCTATACCCAACATACGACCCATTATTGCACCAGCCTGAATTATATTAAAAGAGAAAAATTAAATTGAAATTAAACAATTTAAAGAAAAAAAGAAAACAATAAGCCACGATTCACCTCATTACACAAACTAAACTTGAAATAAAGTTTAAGGTTTACAAGCATTATAAGCAAAGATGGATAGTGGCTAGCAGTGGAATCCAGGACATACGCACAGTATGCACATATGCCAATAAGAGACTGATCAATTTCAGTCCTAAAACATCAATGGGAAGATTCAAGTAAAATAATACCAAGTGAATTAAAGTTTAAGGTTTATTCATAGGACGGTGGTTGTATGGAAATCAATTACTAATTCATCTAGGAACTTGCTGGATCCGTAATTGAGACAATTCTAAGATCATTAACTTAGATTTAGCAAGTAAAAAGCAATGCATTTTTACTAGTAACTGCCAGAAAAATGGCTAAAACAAGGAAAACGTACTGCTAACGATGGGATAAATAAACCAGTCGGTACTTTGATACCAAATGTGAAAACAGTTAGAATAAGTTTTAAAATCAATGCGATTGCCAACAATACCATTGCTGTAGACAATGATGGTCCGGCAGGATAATTCTGATATACTTTAGTCATTGGATTGCTTGTATTATAGTGATAATCACTGAAGAAAAGAGGGAGAAAAAACAAAACAAAAGATGGAGATTGTAAGCAGAATCTCGATTATATCATGATATAAAAAAAATGACTATTTATTCTAAAGCAAATGAAAAATAAGTACATGAGAAATTGACATGATAGATAAATAATAATCTGGTTTATTCACTTGGTACATGTTTTGTGTACTTAGTTTGGGGACATCGGATGAGGCCAGTTGTAATAGGTGTACGTTTATTGGCCCAAGTTGCCACACTAATTTCAAAATGAAATAAGTTAGCAAAGATTTGTAAAAGTGCCTAAACACTATTGGTATAATGGATAGTAAGAAATATGAAACACGGTTTATGGTTGAAAATGAAATGGAAAAATAAAAGGTACGGAATAACATTGAAACTGAAGACCTATAATAAAATAATGATGAATGCATTTGCGACATAGGGACTGATTTTAAAAAAAAGTCAAATAAGATCTCCAAAAATTGTGCGACCCCTAACCAGGTGTTCTGTAGCCAGCAACATTGCTCAAAACAACAACCACTGTCACCATGGATCGGTGGCACGCCGTTACCTCGCCACTCTAAGCTATTCTTGAAACTAGTTCCACCCAAGCCAGAATAATTGAGAGGGATGTACAGTACATTTGCCGCCTGAGTGACAAGTGCATAAATCCTTTGCGCCACAGGCGGCGCAGGTTGTTAAAAAAGAGTTGATAACATTTCCAAGATAACTGAATTGATTAGAGCTTCTGGTTGTTCCATCCTCTTAAATTATAATGCACATCAACACAGGCTAGTCCTAAAACTTTTTTTCATTTAAATGGTGAGTCGTACTGTAGGGATCAAGAACACCATTGGGGACAATCGAATGTACTTAACACAAAATTAGAGGACTTCTTAATATAATCTAACAATCATAAAGTAAATGCTTAATTTGCAAAATTTCCACCAACTGTCTCAAAATGACTCGGACTCCATTGTTCTTGCATTTTCATACAAATTGCATCCTGTTTCCATTCCTTACTGTTCGATCCTCTTGTCTCTCTGATGCCAGACCTTCTGTTCACGACTAACATCATATACTACTTATGTCAATATAAGTAGCACACACAATACTACTAGAGCATCTCAAATTGTTTCAGGAGAAACGGAGTTTAGACCTACATTTTACTGAAAGAAATCAAAAGAGAAATGTTACAAAGGTATTCAAACCTCAGGATGGTAGAGAACCAGTATTGTTATTCAAAATCTCAATTATCACATTTTTAAAACCATTTAGTATTGTGAATTGAGCAGAGATGTAATCGACCATACAACGGTATACTACTAGTTACTATTTACAAAGAAAATTAAATCATCCTAACGTTGGTGACCGGTGTATTTCTTGCAATTTAAACTATGAGTTATCATGTAACCACGAAGAACAACAACTATTGTTTGATAAAAAGTATTTATTCTATGTGTGTTGTAAGCCATGTGATATTATATATATATATATATCAGTTTATATAATTGTACGAGAAAATCAATGATTAATCTCTTATCAGTAAACATAATTGCTTTTTAAACACGTTTCCACCAGTAAACCATAATTGTAAAATATCTTATTGATAAAAACTAGCTAATGTATATGGGTGTGAAAAATGATGAGAACATACAAAATGAAAGAAATTCAATGCATTCTATGCGAAGTTTGTTTGTTCTTATTTGAGAAAAGATTGTCAAGATAATTCATTGTATGAGAAAGAAGACTGAAAACGTCCAAAACTTTATGTGCAAGCTATGTATTACAATCGCGTTTAAATAAATCGTAGAAAGAATTTTTCGATTACGATCAACCGCTACGAATCTTACTATCTTTAATTCTGTAAAGTTGACAAAGTAAAACGGTTCGTTTGCTCAGAGAAATAAATTTGAAGTAAAAGTCCTTAGGTGTGTTTTGTTTTTTGCTAAGTAGAAGTTTAAACGTTCCTAATGAATAAAATATGAGAAATAAAAAAACCAGAGGCTGCAAATATTTATTTCAATACCCAATTAAGATATATATGTAGGGACATCCAGATGACGTTTTCCGAACAGGATAAAGCGCGCGTCCTGGATTACATTTCTAATTACGTCCAATCTATTCTACATCAAGACATAACATTATTATCCACATTTATTTTCCAGATATCTTGAAGGTTTAACCGAAACATTACACAAATCTTGATGGTCTTGAATTCAATATTGGGAGAATTCGTGAGCAGCTACTGAATTCAAGAAGTTTCCAAAATAACAAGGTGAAACAAAACAGTAAACACCATTTATTAAAACTAACAAAATACCTGAACATTCTGATTTTTACATCGGTAATAAATTATGCATTAGCGCTACTTTCACCATTACCCGAAAGTTGAATAAAATTAAACCTCTAATTTGTGTGTAGTGGATTATTAATGAATAACCTTCGCTAACGACTACTATCAGCCATATGGAGCAGCTGGTTAAACAAAATTAATTAAAGCAATCTGAGTTGATTTGTTTGAGATGATGAAAAGGATTTGTCACCCAGGTTGATGATTTTGGTGAGCTCAAAAGTTTAATTGTGAACTATCTATTGTCCTACTGGACAACATAATCAGAACTAACTTCAGATATATGTTCAGCCTGGTTTTATCCAGAAGGACGATAGACGTTTCACAGTTAAACAATACATCTCATAGGATGAAATTCAATTGGCGTAAAAAAAACTATAGAATTAATTATATGTAACCAATAAGTATCATGTCAATAAGCATAAATATAATTTTTCTTCTTACCACAGAGAGAAATCAGATCCTGGAGAACAGCGACTAACTAAAAGTTTAATCAATTCACTGGTATTCATACGAAGATAAGTATGTGGAAATGAAAGAACAGCAGTAATTAGCGTAACAATAAGTACCTCACGAACAGGATATTTACCTAACCAGGTGGTTTTACGCAAACGACAGATATACAAATTCGCTCGATTGAATACTGTACCAAAAATACCCTGTAATATATAAATTATTATTATATGAATAAAGAATTTTTTGAAATTCAGAAACAAAAATAACTAAATAATATCTTCTAGAAAGGTTGGAAAAATACTGATTAGTCTCAAAATGAGACTGTCGAAATCTCAAAGATACGTTGATCTAAACGAATGATAACAGTATAATATGGTAATGAGTGAAATATATTGAAACTAACTCTAACCATATTTTTGAGAGAATCATAATCGGGAAGGTTGAAAACAATAATTCACGAGTTGTACAAGTCAATATAATGAAATAATGCACAAAACTGGAGATTTTAATGAATTGACACAACTCTGAACCTTTTACAAGTATACTGCCTACTCAATAGTATCGCGTTTTCGACATTTTAAGATATTTGTACAGAGCTTATGTTTTCCAAACTCCGCCTGTAGCTCTTCTAGAGTTACTGCCGGTCCCAAGCCCGGGTAAAGCAGGAGGGTTAGGCATGGGGTTGGCGACCCCATCCCGTAGAAAACTAACTCGCTAAAAAAACACTGACCACGAAAAATGATTCAAACAATTTAAACTCTGGCCTGGGAGTTAGAAGGTCTTCATTTAGAAGAACTATGGCGTCTCATGGTGAAAGTCAAGGCTGATGCCCCTTCTAACAACCAGAGCAAGAATTTTTGTAGGTACATGGAACGTCCGAACAATATGGAAGACCGGGAAGACCAGTCAAATAGCAACGAAAATGAGGAGATACAACTTGGCAGTACTGGGAATCAGCGAAACTCATTGTACCAACCTGGACAACAAAGGCTAGATACTCCGGTCACGAAGAGGAAAATGCTCCACACACTCAGGGAATCGCTCTAATGCTGTCCAAAGTAGCACGAAATGCACTTGTAGGATGGGAATCTCACGGATCCAGAATCATCAAAGCATCATTCAAAACAAAGAAGGAGGGGATCACAATGAATATTATCCAATATTATGCACTCACCAATGATAGCAACGACGACATTAAAGATCAATTCTACGAGCGGCTGCAGTCAATCATAGAGAAGTGTCAAAGAAAGGACCTCACCATCCTGATGGGAGATCTAAACGACAAAGTCGGAAAAGACAACACCGGATATGAAGATATCATGGGACGACATGGACTGGGAGAGAGAAACGAAAATGAGCAAAGATTTGCAAATCTGTGTGCATTCAACAAATTGGTCATATGCGGCACAATATTTCCACACAAACGTATACACAAGGCTACATGGACCTCACCGTACTACACCACAGAGAACCAGATAGATCATATTTGCATCAATAAAAAATTCCGAAGGACAATGGAAGATATGAGAACCAGAATAGGAGCTGACATAGATTCAGATCATCACCTGGTGTTTATTATTATTATTATTATTATTATTATTATTATTATTATTATTATTATCAGCTTTATTCAATATGATATTTTTGGTACAATATAGAATTCTCAGCGCAAAGTATTTCAACAAGTTTCCGTTTCTTTCTTCTTGGTCGGTCCTGGCGATAAATATTGAGTGATCGCCAGTTAGATGTTAGCAGTTCAGTAAATGAACATCTGAATAATGTGCATTCTTTTCGTTGTATATTGCCAGCAACCACGTTGTCTCTTATTGAGCTTTTTGTAACTTTGACAACGAAAGGTTGAACACTTTTCAGAAACGCAGCAGAATGGGTTATGCGATTAATAGACATAACGATACATTAAAACAAACAAAAACAGATAACTTGTTGAAATATTGAGATGGCAGGAACAGTTTGCCCAAATGCTCAAGGCTAAGATGAAACTGAAGCTAAAGGAACAGTGGACAGCTGGAAGAACAGCATTATAAAGGTTCAACACAGCTTCCTTCAAGATACTAATAAACTCATTGAATTCAAAATAACTCACGACAAAAGGTTCCAAGCATTACAGGATCTACTGAAAGAAGAAGAAACTACCATGGAGAAAAACTGGAAAAGTATCAAAGAAGCATTAATTTCAGCTTGTCAGGAGGTTGTGGGCCATAAGAAGCATCATCATAAGGGATGGATCTCTACAGAAACTCTAGAAAAGATTCAAGAAGGGAAGAACAAGAAGACAAAAATTAACAACAGCCGAAAAGGGTGGAGAAAGTCAAGGCACGAGTTGAGTACACTGAGGCAAATAAGTAAGGGAAGAAGAGTATTAAAGCCGACAAGCAGAAATACGTGGAAGAACTAGCAACGACGGCGTAAAAAGTTGCAAGAAAAGGAAATATGAAACAGCTTTACGATACAACGAAGAAACGAGCAGGGAAACATAGTAAACCAGAGAGACCGGTCAAAGACAAAGAAAGCAGGCCAATCACTCAAATTCAATTCCTTGTCCATGAGAAAGCATTTGACAGTGTGGATAGGAAAACAGTATGCAAACTTCTTCAACAGTATGATGAACATGAGAAAATCGTCAACATCATCCGGAATTCATACGACGGACTACACTCTAAAGTCGTGCATGTTCGACACCTGACAGATACATTCTAAGTGAAAACAGGAATAAGATAAACACCCTTACTTTTACTTTTTCTCTTTCTTACGGTGGTCGGTTGGATTATAGACACCTCAACATCTCATACAAGATGGGAAAACTCTAGAACAGGTGCGAACTTTCACGTATCTGAACAGAATCATCGATGGGCGAGGCGGGTCGGATGCAGACGTAAAGGTGTGGATTGGCAAAGCAAGGACAGCATTCATACAGTTGAAGAACATATGAAACTCAAAACAACTCTCAACCAATATCAAAGTCAGAATTCTCAATACGAACATAAAGACAGTTCTACCGTACGGAGCTCAAACGTAAAGAACTACTACAACCATCATCAAAAAGGTACAAGTATTTATAAACAATTGTCCACATAAGATACTCAATGTCCGTTGGTCGGATACCATCAGCAACAACCTACAGTGAGAGAGAACAAGCCAGTTTCCAGCTGAGGAGGAAATTAAGAAATGACGATGGAAATGGATAGGACACACATTTCGGAAATCATCAAACTGAATCACGAGGCAAGGACTAACTTGGAATTCTGAACCGAAACTGAAAACAAAAAGACCAAAGAACACACTATGTGGGAAATTCGAAACAGACATGAAAAGGATGGATAACAACTGGAAAGGATTGCTCAGGACAGAGTTGCATGGAGAATGCTAATGAGCAGTCTATGCTCCTTTACGAGGGGTAACAGTTGTGAGTACGTTTCCCACACATAGCCGTGTCTTATACAAACAGGAAGTATTATAAAAGTTAGATTTAAAAATAGCATTATTATAACTCGAAAGATATTCGGTGTGAAGGTAAGATCTGAAAAATAAATGGGCCATAACACAAGATTAAAACTATCATTTCCATAAGGTTAGCATATTGTCAACTTCGAACAGCTGTCCATTGAGCTAAGCTTACAATGAAAAAATTCTATGGTCCTTCTTCACGAGGGGTAGCAGGTGTAAGTTTCCCACACATAACCGTATCGTATATAAACATGAAGTAATTAGGACAATGAGAATGATCTGCAGCTCTGGGTAGACCATAATTTATTAGTGAAAATATCATCTGACACGAAGACTGCTGATAAAACATTCTTTTAATCGATCTATTTAAATCTAGCTACAATTAACGGAGATTAAAATCCGAATACCTATTGTTGGTGAGGAGATATAAAGAGCATCCCTTTGGTTTAAATAGCTTTACGGTAGTTTACGTCATTTTACAACTGTAAGTACCACTTTTAAGTAGTGGTTGGGTTCTCGTGTCTAATAGTAAAATCCAGCTACATAGATTGTACCACTTGTTCCTTTAAGTAATACTACGACAAGCAGGTTGGTTGATTAACAGTAGTAATAAAAGCACCAAACCCACGGTCCGAATGTAGAATGATACTACTTACAGTATCAAGTTGTGTCTAATCCAGACAACTAGCACCTAAAGTAATGCTATCCTCGTTCATAAAAAACGAGAATTAGAAAAGGTCTATTCCATTTTAACCCATGAATTTTCTGCCTCTCATGGTAAGGCCTTTTGAGGTACGAAGCCTACACACCAAAACTTTGTCACAAAAGGACCATGTATCGTCGACTTAGTATTCATTTTGTTCCTTTCTTCTAAATGGTAAGAAATAACGAATTAAACTACCTATAATCATGTGTAAAAATCAAAATGGAAGTTAATTAATATGTGTAGCCATAGACTAAAACTACAGACAACTTACTCCAAGTAAACCGAGTAAAGCGAATGGAATTAATTCCATCACATGCCATTGTGCTTGATAATCGACATAGAACATAATCATATTATCACTACCATATGGATTTAAAATACGCAAAACATTAGCTGATACCATGGCACAGAAAAACGATCGGAACATTGTTTTCATTGGAAAATAATAACTAGCTTCTTCTAGTGAAAAAAGAACACCACCAATTGGCGCACCAAATGCAACGGCAACTCCAGCAGCTGCTGAAGCTGAAAGAATCTAGTATTTCGGAGGAAAAAACGAAGCAGAACCAGAAAGTAAAAATAACAACAATAAGTGGAAATCAGTAAAATGAAGTTTGATTTTAAGGAACTTGTTTAGTTTAAAAAATGATGATAACTAATAATAATATTTACTACGAAGTGATATACATTGGGAGAATACTGAGAACTAAACAATTAAGATCGAAAGACAATCAGCAACAAGTATTTTTTGTAGATGCAGACTACCTGAATAGGGTCGGTGCAGTAAACGTGACCGGATTTTGAAAGCATTGAATGAGATGGTTCATAATCGAGCACAGTGGTCCGGATGGATTCAATCCTTATCCTCCTTGAGATCTTAAGTTCCAGTATTTCTTGACAAATATCTTTTATTTCTGTCTATCATATTAATTCGATACCTTCACTATACATCTGGCTAATTTTATCCCGTTGTGCTAATGTGATATGGGCAATTCGGGTCAGGGAACATTTGTGGCCGATTCTACGTTGATTATGACTGATTGACTTTTTTTGCAGTCTACACTAAAAGATCAAAGTTGAGACTTAAAAAACCTTTGGTAAGAAATTTATAGCGGTTTAAACTATCTTCAAAACAACAAAAATTTTCAAAAAAAAATTCAAAGATTTCATCAGATCAATCAATTTTCACTTCGATGTGACGCTTAGAGTAAATTACATTCAGTCAATCAGTCAGTTAGCTACAACGTAGGACCAGGCACATATACGCCATACCTCATTAGCACAGTAAGACGAACACCATTTTCATAGAAGCAGTTAATTCAATGGTGGTAATATATAAAAATACTGCATATAAGGATATAATACAGGAAGAAAGAATTAGTTCATAGGAAGAAAGATATGAAGTGATCTTATAGTTTAAGGGAAGACAAAGAGTGTATAAACCTAAACCATTGTGATCTAGTCTGAGCTATGTCACCCATGATCTCTAACTATTTGTTTCGATAATCATGCTGACCCCAACCAAGTAGTCTGCACCTACCAACATGGCTCAGACTAGAAGTTAGTGTCTTCAAGCACTGATGCCACGTTTTGGTTTGGCCAACCCTAACTTTCTTCCAATCATTCCTAACACTAGTCAGCATTGCACATCGTCGTAATCGGCGTTCAGGCATACGTAACACGTGGCCCAACCATCTCAGTCCATGAACATTCACAACCTCATCAACTGATTTACCATCATTCCCTAATACCCTGCGTCTAACCTCACTATTACTTACCCGGTGATCCCAGCAGACGCCAGCAATATTTCTGAGGCATCTGTGGTCAAATACTAATAGCTTACGAGTGTCTTCTACTCTTAATGGCCATGTTTCGCTGCCGTAAATTAAAACAGAACGGACTGCCGCGCAGTATACTCGTCCTTTTATTGATAGACGGATATCGTGCCTTCGTCATAGGTGACGTAAGTTAGCAGAAGCCAAACGAGCCTTCTGAACCCGCGATAAGACTACCTCAGACACCAACCCATTAGGGCTGATCAGACTTCCAAGATAAGTGAAGTTGTCAACGCGTTCGACTACTTAACTCCCTATCCTCAGTTCAGGTGTTGACGCAGGTCAGTCCTGGAGGAACAGACATCTCTGAAGAGCATCTTGCGTATATCAACCAATAGATTTTATCTCATTAGCCTATAATTAATTCGATAGTGGCTTAGCAAACCCAAGAAAAAGATTTTGGTTAAAATTTCTTTGTGGTAGGCAATTTACTGATGATGCCTTCTTCGCCCTTTCAAAACATAATATCAGCAAAATCATTTTGAAAAAGTGAGTTATTAGAATTTTGTCGTAGAAACGAAACTATTTGTCCAATGATACATGACAAGAATGGTCGCTGATAACAACTATGATCTTAGTATTTAGACAAAAACTTAGAGTAGATTAAACTGAGACGGCCTATGATATTGTTGTCAAGTATATTACATCCCGTTAGTTTGAAAATTGGACTTATGACACCCCTGTTGATTTCAGAGCGTACAATCAATTACATACAGACATAAGCTAATAAACGTCATCAGATCGAATATCTAATGGTTGTTCACGTAAGCGAAGAGGGCAGCTACGTTGTATGATATAGTATTGTGGTTGTTTCTTTGAAAACGTATCCAAGTTTATTTTCTTTGTCATTACACTCTACATTGTGTTTTGTGAGATATTATTGACTTTTTGAACTGAATTAATGCCAGAAATCATACAAAGATTGGTTGTAATAACTGATTAGATAGTCTCGAGTTATCTAATCCTTGTTAATAAGTGTAAATTGCTTTATCATAATGATGACAGTAAAAATGGTTTTGCTTATTCATATTAGCGTATGACCTTTTTCTGATTTTTGATTAATTATTATAAAATTGAGTTTGTCTATTTTCAAGTGCACACCGTCTTTAGAACTACAATCGGGGAGTTGTGATGTAGCAACAAAAACAAGTCCTATACAGCTTTCTTTCATACCATGACACCATGTCATACACTGACCACCTCTCCGTTTTCCCAACCAGTCCCAGCGTCGGAAAATAATGCACGATGTGAAATTCTTCGGGACGACATTAGGAAGACATCTCCAACCTACTGAAGTAGAGGTGAGTTTAAGTGATAGTCAGTTAGCGGTGAGTGCTGAAAATCTTAAATCCTAGATTAATAGCTTATATCGATTGCTGACAACTGTCTTACATAGACCACAACAAGTTCGTAAAATATTATTTCACAACAGCTATTATCTTAGAAAACTTGCCTCCCGTTTTTTAGCTTCATTTTGACCATATTTGGGAAAGAAATGTGCGAATATATTTCCAACACAGGCAGCCATATGAACCATGGGTCCTTCTTTACCAAGATTTAAACCAGCACTTACTCCAAGAATCATACCAATCGATTTTATCAGAAGAGTCCATTTCCCTAAGTAACCACGTATAATGAATCCACCTAGAATAGTCTTGATTTCAGGAATACCGCTACCTAAAATCAAATATGGAAAAAACAGATGTTAAAAAAGCAGATTTTCTCAATATAAAGAACAACACATTAACTAAATGGTTGGTCTAGATAATCTAGGACATACATATAGTGAAGATTGGAAACCCAAATCAATGACCGGACACCATTAGTGACGTAACTCAGTCTCTGTATACAGCACAAATACATTCAAATATTGTTTATCAACATCTTTAAATTATGTTTCTTGTAACTTTGAAGAATATTTCAGATAACATTACAGATTGAAGATACATATCACAGTACTATTTGAAAACGTAGGTTTTTTAATCATTTTAATACCACAAAGAGCATACGTTCCTCAAGTATTCAATTTTACAACGAAATGAACGAAAACGATCTGTAATCTGGGAGACCAGTACCAAATACGCTTCATTTTCACTATTCAGAATGACATCCTGCGGAACATTTAACGTTTTCCAGAAAAATGTGTTTACCCCATTATGTAAGCTTTTAAAACATGAATATTCGGTCTAACTGAATTTATCATCATTAGATGAAAAGTCCTCCTGCCTTCATTAATTATATATATATATATATAACTACCAAGAAATATTTCATTGGGTGCGACCAGAATATGTGGAAAAACTAGACAGTAACATAAGTTAGATCATTATAAATTCACTTGTAAAACAATCTGCTTTTATCTATCCAAATAAAAATCTTCATTCCAGCGTCGACGAATAATGCACGACAAGGAATTCTCTGGGACGACATTCGTAGGACATGTCCAAGCCACCGAAGTCGATGTTACACGAACATCTCGACTACTTTTATCTGCTCACCATCCAGGGTGAGTACAGGATTGGAATCCTGCCAGTCTTGTAGGAGTACTTTGCACTTCGAAGGTGCAAAGCTCATACCGTACTTACGGACACTGATTGCCAACTGATTAAGTGCGGATTGCATGCCTTGAGCATTATCGCACAGTAAGACAATATCGTCCGCATACTCAAGGTCCAGAAGTCTTTCTCCAGGCAACAGATCCACATCACCATTACTTACATCCATCTGAGCTGTTTCCAGAATGTCGTCGATGGCAAAGTTGAAGAGGAATGGTGAGATTGGGCAACCGTGCCTAACCCCACTGCTCGAATGGAACAATGGAGAAAGGTGGTTGTTTGCCCTCACTCTGCCTGAGGTGTTTTTATATAGGGCTTTAGGATGTTAATAAACTTCTCAGGCACACCCTTCTTCAATAGACAATCCCAGAGAACAGTCCTGTCCAACGAATCGAAGGCAGTCAAGAAACACTACGATTGTTAGCCTTTGATAAGTATGGCGGTGTTCTAACATTTGGCGGAGGGTGAAGATATGATCAATACATCCTCGACCAGAACGAAACCCAGCCTGCTCCTCGCGAGTCAATCTTTCTCGGGTTTTGAACAACCTACGAAGTATGACGGAAGCCAATAGCTTGGACGCAATCGGAAGTACGCTTATCCCCGATCGCTGTTACAGGAATGACGTGAATCCTTTTTGAAGATAGGGACAACTATCGACTCATTCCATGACGTCGGTACACTCTTTAGCTCCCTAATCTTTGTAAACAACGCGGTCTGTTCCTTAACCAGAAAGTCATCACCATCTTTAAAAAGGGCCGGAGTAAGTCATCTGGGCCAGGTGATTTGTAGCGCTTTAAGAGTTGGAGTTCCTTGCGGACTTCCTCCTCATTTGGTGGATCAGTCGTCATCGACCACGGAGGGTGGGACAATTTGACCTATGTTGCCGGAGCAGTAGGCCAGTTGGACTGCCCTTCGAAAAATTCTGCCCATCGTCCAAGACGTCGATGGATGTTAGTGATTGGCATCCCGTCATCCTCACAGATTGTTTCTCTCACACCAGACTTCTTGCTGTCAGTGGCTCGGATGAGTTGGAAGAGCTTCCGGTAGTTACCAGATGCAGCTGCTGCTTCCAGCTCATTAGTACGCTCGGACCACCAGGCTTCTCGGTCCTTACGCAAGCTTTGCCCAATTTCAGTACGTAACATCCTTCGTTTATGGTCAAACTCACGGTCACCCGGAGTAGACCGACGGGCTTCAATGAGTTGTAAGGAACCTGCAGAAACCCAGTGCTTATAAGCGGGACGTTTCGCGAACCCACAACTGACTGTACCCGCCATTTTCATGGCGTCATGCAGCTCCAACCAATGCTCATCTATAATTTTCGGTGGGATGGTAGCTAGCCTAGAAGCCAGCTCAATTCGATACTTACTCGCAACAGAAGTTGCAACCAACTTGCTAACATCAATCCGTTGGTGGCGGTCACTTCATTGTCCACTGAAAAGTAAGGTAAGATTGGCGCAGACCAAGGCGCGATCAGAGTTCAGATAGGTACTCCAAAAGGAGCGGCAGTCTTGTACACAACTACACCAGCGATAGTTGATCACGATGTGATCAATCTGAGTCCACGCTTAAGATGCATAGGGAGGACGCCAAGTGGCACATCGGCGATGACTGTGCCAAAAGTTAGTGCTAGCCAAAAGCAGGTTGTGGTCTGTGCATAGTTGCAGTAGACGGTCCCCGATATCTGTCCTGCGACCAACAAGTCCCATCGGCCACCTAAACAACTCTCTTCTGTGCCTAGACGCCCGACCTGAGCATTCAAGTCTCCGGCTAGTACTACAATATCTGTCGAACGAACTTTCTGGAGAAGAACAGATAATTGGTGGTAGAATTCATTCTTGATTGCATCCGGGCTGCAATCTGTCGGAGCATAGGCGGAGATGACGAAAAGACATCGTTTCTCACGCCGATTTCTTCTCACTTTGATGGAACTTTCTAATCTAATAGCACAAAACCGACTGTTAATGGGGACACAATCGATTAGTTCTGCCTCAGCTCTAGCGCTTAGTGCGACACCAACGCCAGCAAGACCAGACGAAGATGCCACAGGGTCCCCGGATAAGCGCACGTAAAACAAGCTTTTCGAAGCGACAGATGTAGAGCGAATTTGCAGTACTTCACCAGAGTCTTGAATACGAGTCTCGGACAGACAGCAGACATCGATATTAAGACTTTCCAAAGACATAGCCAGCCCTATCTGTTGTCCAACCTGCATAAGTGTGCGAACGTTGAAGGCAGCCAGTCTGAATGGTGCACATGGTTTCAGAAAAACTGCTTCAGTACTCATATTCGGTGGTAACATACAATTTTCAACCGGACAGTGACTCGAGAACGTTTAGATAGAGTCGAATTTTCACCAAAGACGAGCTACTGTATAAGTCGAAAAAATAAGTATAGACGGAGTAGGAATAAAAGAGGGTGAATAACGATGTAGTAACTAATAATAATAATGATAATGATAGTAATAATAATAATAATAATAATAATAATAATAATAATCATAATAATCATAATAATAATAATAATAATAATAATAATAATAATAATAATAATAATAATAATAATAATAATAATGTGAATCGTTTGACTGTTAATAGAAGCAAGAATAGTATTTTCCGTGAATATCGACATTTCATTATATTTGTTCTATTCACAAATAGAATAGATCATTACCTCGTAGAAGAACGACAAAGGAAAATCGCGGAAATCCAAACGACGGTCTGTTATGTGTATTTTTAAAATATTGAGACTGATTACAGTATAATTTAACGCTATTAATTAAATGTAAAGTAAATTTCAAGCGTGAAAACTCAGTTGACACAGGCAGCTTCCCACAGAGGCCATTTCCCACACTCTACATAAACAATCACAAACTATTAAAAGCGACTTGAATAGATGCACACCATAAAAATTATGAGATTTATATCGAAGAAAAAGCATGCTTACAAGTAAGCAACAGTAACAGTTTTTAATCAAATAATAGTATTTAACATATCTAGGTAATCTAGTCTTTTAGAAAGACCGCATCTACAAATGATTCTCCTGAAGCTAGTGATCTGGGTAAGCCGGGACAGGATTTGTGAAAAAGATCATCATGAAAACAAAGAAAATCAAAGGTATTATAATTTTACTTTTTAAAAAAACGAAATCTTACAACTCTTTCAAAGGAAGATGTTAAGAAAGCAAACAAGAGTAAAACTATTGATTGCTGATAGCCGTTCAATGCAATATTCAATTATATTCTGACTATTTCAGTTATTAGTTATTTCAGTATTATTTCAAGTTTAGCACTTAACTAATTTGAAATTCGCTAAACGTTATTATAATTTAGTAAATATATATACTTCTCAAAACAAACCAGGTTGTCTTCTTACTAGTTGAGTGTTGCGTCAATAATAGTGAGGGTAAAGTGTTGAAGAGTCATTCCGTTGAGTTCAGTTAGGCCAGTTATGCTTTTATTGGAGTAAATCTTGTATGCTATTATGATGATATTTTCAAATTATATAACAATGAGCAGGTTATAACAGGCAGTTTATTTTTTTGTGTGAAATAACTTTATGTGAAAGATGTATTATGTTTAAGAAAAAACTTCTTAGCTTGTCATTTGATAGATCGATAAGTAATGTTAGTATGACAACTGCTATACTATTCAATTGTTGAGAGTTATAATCTATCAACAGTACACATGGAAGACATATTTCAACTGCTTTTACGTTTAAACCTGATGTTCCATATGTATCTCTAATAATAAAAGCATCTATTTTTTTTACTCAACTCTGAAACCTTATAGATTGAGTTAACGATGTAAACAAAATTGCATTGAACTAATACCTATAAAAATACAAACACAAACATCATGATGAATCTGTCACTACTATGAAAATTAGTAAAATCACACACGACTTTTAAGTAGTAAATATATTTTCTGAAGAAATTTAGTTTATTTGTTTATTCGAACACAGAAACTTCGGTTTCGCACGTGAACATTTAACCTCCAGATTACTGAGTCGACATTCAACGGTGTTAATATCAAACTTCAATTGATCCATGATCTTGCGCAACTGTTCACCCATTGTCCAATGTTTACAGGTTTTCAACAGTGTTCTAGCTTAAATCAACTTGTGAATTCAACTATGAAAATATAACTCAATTAGTGAGTTACATTTTTATTCTGTCCAAACACAATGCTAGAAGTCTGGTCAATTCATTTCTCAATTTCCTTTATGATATGTATGTGTTCAAAGTATATAGAATGTAATAGATTTATAACGTTCATCACATGGATCAAATAAGTTATTAGGGCGGAAGACAAACGAACCAAAGAAGAAGTGTTACTTAATGTAGAATTTGCTTGTAAAGTGATCAATACGTTTAGAAAATATTCACAGAGATTCAAATGATTATCATTCGATGCTGAATACATTTAATCAAGTCAATGAATCAATACATATTAGTTACTAGTTACTGTTTTTATTAATCACCCGAACAAAATTAGGTCTAAATACGAACAGAATATGGTAAAACACACTGTACAGTTTTAGAACATCGAAATGTACAGTACCAAAGTGATCGTAAAGTAGTATCTATACATATACAAGACATTAACTAGTCTAATGACATCAGTCACTCGAGTTCCGAACACATTAAAAAGTGTCAGTACAACATTGAACATCTTAGTCATTTAAAAACGATACAAGTAAGAAAATTATTTAAAAACCCAAAATTAAACGCAGCGAATGATCCCAAGAAATTTGGAAAAAGATTTACAAACCATTTGCTTTCATCCAGTCTTATAATATTATCAATGTACTATGAATGTACATTTTAAGAGTAAGTTATCTTTCGAAATGTAGCAATCAAACTTTAAAGAGATAATTAATGCAATTAAACTGCCCAGCACAGAGAATACACCATTTCTTAAAAGTGTCCAACTGAGCTACAAATTATCTCCACTGTTTTTAAGGATTTACACATTTTGAAATCACTAGAGTAGGTAATCCTACTTACTAACTGGTATTTAAACTAAATTGAGCTTAATAAAAATGACCTTCAAATCATTCTAGCTATCTTCTTAGGTGGTTCGTTAGTAGAATGTCATGATGAGGCAGTTGATCTGTCTACTAACTGCTGAACTGAAAAACTGAATCAGACGGCTGCGGGAATTTCAATGATATAATTTGCCGGTTGACCGACTAAAAGAGATTAATAAAGATTCTTTTGAAAGGGACTTCTAACTGCCATCGAAACTACAATTACACAGGAAGCCGAATGGTTTAAGTTCAGTTTGGTGCACTGTTGAAATATAGTTTTATGTAATGGATTAGTCGACTGATAAGGGGCTTGAAAGGAAGCTCAAAAAGTGCACATATAATGTAGGTTTGGCTGAATAACTTGACTAGTAAAGAGTACAAAAACCGATAGTTTTCAAACCTATGACAAACTAATAGTCCTCTGAAACTACTTATGTTAACACTTCAAAGATTCAAACACAGTTCAATGTATTGAAAATTAGGAAACTAGGTAAAAGCACCAGCTCTTAGCAGTGATATTCTTGAATTAAATAATCAACTTCCGATTTTTTTTCCATTCTCGGTAATTTTTTTAGAACTGTTGTTAAATAAAGACCTAGTATTAACATTGACGAGGATAATATAATTGATAATCAACAAGTACTCAAAGGTTATCATTCAGAAAAGTAAGATTAAAACTACACACTTACTAGTTCAGTTTCATAATGACATAATGGACAACATTCTGATTCCTAAAGAAATAGGTAATGAGTTCAAATCTCAGTCTGAACATAAACACTTAGATGCACATGCACATCAAGAACGCGCGTCCTGAATTCCACTACTACTCTAAAAACAACTGTTACTGAATTTAATTAGTTACTAAGTAAAATTTTATGGAATAGTCTCACATTAGCTCTCAAATCTAATGTGATACTACTTAGCTACCTAAATCGAAACAGATAGACCAGGATGTACACTGACAATTTCTAAGCCAATATTACTGTTTAGTGACCATGACTAATGGAATTTTTAAAAAAACGACCTTTTGTAAACTACATTTTAAGCACAGGCAGTTAAATGTAAAAAATTTCTTACCACAAGCGTAAGGAGCGAACATACGAACAAGAAATACACAAACTAGAGCAAATAATACAGCATAAATAATGTAGAATATGTAGCCAACAAAGTAAGCATCTGGATATTCACCAGTTGGATCTTTGTTCATAAAAAGACGAGACCATGAATACCACTAAAATTGAAAGGAGTGAAGAAAGAGAACAAAAACAATTACAAAGACTCCACATTGGATATTAGTGTGTCCGAATCTTTTTTCGAAATGAACCTATTGCTTCACTTTTATGAACCAACTACCATTATAAGTCTTTCTAATTGAACGCTAGATTTGTTCCTAAACTTCCAGTAATCTCCAGGCTAGATCTACACAGTGACTTGAACACGACGGAAAAGGCGCGAAGTACGTAAGAAACACGACTCCGAAGATCTGTTCATATACAAAAAACCTAGGGTTTTTATAGTATTTTAGATGTCCTTGGGTTTCACGAAAATTCTGGAACGTTACTAAACATAGTAGCAGTATAAGTAATCACCCAATCAGAAACTCGACATGTGACTTTACACTTTCTTCATGTTTCTGGCAGAACTTCTGGTGGACGCTGATTGGATAAGATGCTTCTCGGTGTTTTCAGAGCCTTTCTTGACTTTTTTCAAGGAGTTTTATGGATCTCCCCAACATATTAGTATACTGTTTTTTAACTAAATTTGTAAATAAAATTGCGTAATCTCAGGGGTGTAAACAACAGAAATGAAATTCAGTATTTCAGTTACCTAATAATAAATAGAAATAATTACTAATTTAACAAGTACAAATTTATGTACTTGGCTATGGGCTATTGGTACAATCTGGCTGGCCTAATGATCTGATGTTTTGAAGAAAATCAACAACCAAAAACTTGTAATTAGCACTTTACTGAAGAAAAAAGAAATATAACGAACATACTTACTTGATCACAGACATCATCCGCTTGACTTGATGACCAACAACACTGTTCACGGTTGAACCAAAATGCATCTAGACAAACACCTTCTTTTAAATCAGACATCCAAGTACAACCAATATCAATGATGCAAGCAATAAAACCTGTTAACAAACCGACACATAATACACAAAACCATCCAGAAGCAGAATCCCAACAGGCTTTAATTGAACCACAGCATGTTTTCTAGAAATTGTAAAATTGACAATGAAAACACATAGAGAGGAAGCATAGAACCAGTTTAAATAATAAGGAATTAAATTTGCTTACCCTAATAAAAGGAAGAAAGACAACATGGTCATAAAAAGAAATGTTTTCTACGCAGAAACATTAAAGGTATTTCATAAGTGGCAAACATTCATGACATTAACAATGCTTAGAAAAGACAAGATACTTACAAATAACCGAAATGTAACTTATTCACTAGAAGAGCTGGTGATATTACTCAAAATGAAATAGGTAAAGTAGGTCCCCAATTATCTATATACTGGTAGCAAACCATAACGATATCACTTAAGAATACGTTTAAAGACTTTCTATATTATGAATGACTGAGTTCTAAATTGATCATGTAAAAAATAGTCGAAAAACAATAACACGAAGGAAATATTGAAAATGTAATAAGTTTTGAATAACGCAGTTTGACAAGTCAGTTATTGAGTTCACAATTATATGCAACAATAAACTCTGACTTGGTGATTAAAGGGTTTCATTTTCGACCATTCAATGATTTACTCAAACTCCACTTAACATATAGCACTCCAACTACCACTGGATAGTATCACTGATCTTCTTACAAATCGAATGGTTTGGAGCCGAATACCGAAGACTGGATACAAGAAATATAGAATTGAAATAAATTAGCAAGATGAATGACATGAAAAACCGTGCAATAATGTGAATTTTGGTTAACTTATTGCATTTACGAAATAAAATTTATCAAAACTGAAAGCTGGAAAATAATTAAAATAAGATGTATTTCGAATATATACTAAAAATGATATAATTGACAAGATAGCTGACAATGAAATGAATAAATTTGTGAATAGTGTATGATATCAGACAAATTAGATGCATAAATATTCTTTTGTTTAAATTTCAGCATCTAATAAGAGATAATAACTACAATGGTTTAGATTTAATAGAATAACATATCGTAAGATTAAATAGATATTTTGTCTACTGAACTTAACAAAGTCAAACACATGCACTCCAAATGTAACGTGAAATTTTCTCTTTATCTGTCAATATTCGAAGATTGCTAAAACTTTTCTAGAACAAGCAATTTTCAAATCTTTTAAAATAATGTACACCAAATAAACAAAATGGTAGATTATAGGATTTGAATAGAATAAAACGTCACCGATTTATTCACTGTGATAGATAATGATTTAGGATAAAAATAATGTATTCCTATTACAAACCTACATAATCAGAAATAATGATTGATAGGTTCAGTTTGTCAACGTGAAATAATAGTGAAAAGAAACGATAGAGATAAATTTACGAAACAGACAAACCGACCGACTCGGAAGAAAAGTATGACATAGTGAGTCTGTGAGAATTCACAAAATATCTCAAACAGATTATACATTCCTTCAACTATATTTTTTATCTTTTTGCGAATCTCATTCAGAAGGTTTACACCAAGTTATACTAATCTAAACAATCTCTAGTAATTTACAATTCGATCCTAATTATTCGTTTTTGAATTTGCTAGAATAAGGAGTCGCCAATTATGTTGTATTGGTAGTTCTACACCATGGACTGACTTTGTTTAGACAGCCAACAAAAGCATTAGTAATGTGGACACTAATAGGGGAACAGGTAAGAAAATGACTGTTTGAATACATAGAAATTTTTTTAAAAAACCATAGTTTCCTTGACCAATTTTATCTTGGAAATTCTATAAATCTGGAAATACACTGTCAACGGTTTGGAGATACTTAAAAACATAACCAAGTGTATAGAACCCAATATTGACCAAATGACTTAAATATTTTGAGGCAATCTGCTCAAAGAACACAAGACGTCAGATAATGGAGTATTAACTCATGAGTCACATTCTATATCACAGCTCTACAGATCATACAAAAAACAATGTTTATCATTTGATAGAGAATCAAGAATTTTTGTAAACAAGTTAATGAAGATCCAGAAGCATATCGCCTAAGTAAATCGGGAATCAACGAACATATCGAGGTGGATGCAATCCATCAACCTATAGAAAAGAAAGCCAATAAAAATGTTCAGAGGCAAACAGAACAAGAAACCCAATGAAAAATGAATACAATAAAACTTATGAAGGCAGTCAATTACAGGTAAGTTCACTAGAACAATTTCAATTGAGGTTCCGCAATGAAACCATCTATCTCAGGGAAGTTGACAAAATCAAAAGCATCCACTTAACTTACAAATGCTCTCCTTCATTTTAAGACTAAAATAAATTATACATTGGTAAGATTGACGATGAAAACACGAAAAAATATCGGAAGTAAAGAAAGATATAAAGGAAAACTCAAACTAACTCTATTCAAATGAAGTTCTCGATGACGACATCGATCACGTGAAACATCTTTGACCCAGTCGATGGTTTCGAAATCTTCATAATGTTCAACTTTCGATATTGCTCCAGTAGAATGACTATTGATTGAATTAATATTTTGATATGATAAGAATTCACCATTTCGACCTGAATAATGAATAACAACAACAGAAAATACTTGAATAAATTGCAATAATTTATTTCATTATCTTGATCATGGATAAAGAGTCAATCGACAGTTTTGATTAAATACAAACAAATTGAGCTCAACAAATAGAAAAACTAAGACGAGGACACTATACCAACCAAGCGATCTTGAGCTTGACATCTACATTTGAAGTGATGAGAACTAAACATAAGAACGAGAAAATTATGATGAATGACCAGACACAGTATTGTACAGTTTGAAATCCTCCGTTCACACAAACATGATAGGAACTTCGTAAAACTCACTCAGTGGCACACAAAATTGAAACGCTTGTCTAGAAAACCGAAGACATAATAACAGAAAAACAACCATTCATTACAACTACACTGACTAGACCTTTTAATATAAGCGGTCAGCACAAACCCAGAAAGTTGTTAGAAATACAAGTCAGATTTTATTGAGATAAGAAACCTGGCTCAGAAAACCAAAGAAAACCTGTGAGCACTGGACAACTGTTTTGTCATGGTACAGGACTCTTCGTCACTGTGTATCATTCAACCCACCATCACGAAAAAGTCTCATACTACGAAGAAACAATTACCTAATACTCCAAAATTTTCAATCTTTATACAACCTAGTTCCATTCGTCATTTTAATAACAAAAACAAAGCAGTTTATTTAATCTACTAAAACAAATCACTGTGTCTATACTGCACAAATTATATGGGTGATACAACAAGACAGACAATAACTAAGAATCATTGTAATGAATATGTTCACAGCTTCATTAAACCACAACTGCAACTCCGCCAATCCATCATTTAAAATAAAACTTTGTTGAGGCAGCTGGATAATAGTTCATAATCACAAATCATCATTATCACACTTAACAATCCAAACAATAATGATAAATAAAGAATGAATATATGTCTAGAGAGACTCGACTAACATTTTTAATGAACAGAATCCAGTAGTAGTTATCATTTATTTCAACACATAAACATTGGTACAAGGGGGAACCAAATATATATGCTCCACACAACAACAATGAAGCCGGTTTGTGTGACGGCTGAGATACTGTTCGGGCACCCAAACCGGTGCAGATGGTTTTCTTAGGGGGCTACACACAGAGCTTTTGACCTAAAGGTCTAATCCACAAGGTATTGGAGCAACATTAGAAGATACAGTCCCATGATGGCCGGTCACCAACAATAGGTTCATACCCCATTTTTTCCCTCAGGAGCCCATGTGCACTATTGGTTTTGAATCGGAGTTTTCCAACTCCCCTAGGTAGACCGTCCGTATCCACCAACCCGGTTAACGAGCCGGACATTCGCTTCTCGTCCTCTCGATTTCGTAAACAACAGTAATGCCACAAAAAGGTTGTGAGTAGGATATCCTTGGTAGTGGCTGTATACGCGTGGCCGTGTGAGGGCATTTCAAGAGGAACAGATGACTCTTCCTAACCTCGACTGTACCAGGACATTTAGGGGCGAACAGTATTCAAATCATTAAGATATAGAAAACACGATGAACATTTACAATCTCCGGTGAATTTATGGAGGAATGTTTAGGAATAAGGCTTATTTCGATTTTTTGAGGCTGTGACACTATGCAAGTGTAACATAAAATAAAAATATCTCTGAAGGAGTCAAGGACGTACGCTATTGAGTTATACATAACAATGAAATAAATGTCCTGTGATTCCTAGGTCTCAATAACTGTTTAGCAGATATAAGCTGGTTATTTTTAACTTATACAAAATAACACTACAAAACCACTTAATATTTATTAAATGTAATTCATAGCGTGCTTTACACTTTTTTTCAGACCAGAGACTAGATGGCATCAAATAAATAGGAAAGAATTGTATAGCGTAGCTGACTCCCATTATGAACAGTACAAATTAGTGAAGGGTAATGACTCCACGGTATTTTAAACTACACATATTTTTGGTCAAAATATCAGTGTCACCTCTAAACTATTTTGCATACTGTTATGTAGTATTAAATGCAGTGACGGTTCACTGATTAAGATTTTCCAAATTCGAACAACCCTCAACCAACTTTGGATTCAACAACTGTGTAATGTCATTGACCTTCACACTTGCAGTATCTCTTGAAGTCAAGTAAACAAATCCATACTTGTTAAATGAATTAAAAATGTGAACTTCATTTATACTAAATGAAAGCATTTGAGAAATTGTGTGATTTAAGTTTAATAATTATCGTTCAAAGCTTAACTGACGATATGTAAATTTGTGTTTTCATTAAAGTAAACACAACAATAATTTTATAAAAACAATCATAATCCATGAAAGAACTAATGATTATTATTACATTAATCACCTTTTGTTATATTTGGAAATCGAGAATGGAAAGGCAACCCACAATTGTCACCAACATCAAACTTAACATTTGAATTTGCCGTGAACATTTCTTCATTCAATATACCATCTTTTTCATCAATTAATTTCGACTTATTACCATGATCGTTTTCAGTTAATGTCGAGGAAGTTAGTCCAGTAACATTACTATTACTATGTTGATTAGTACTGTTAGTAATTTGTTGACAATGTTGTGATGAATTATTCAATGTAGTAGTAGGGTCTGCAAATGGATTCAGCACGTCTGATGATGAAAACATGTTTAGTGGATAGAACGAGCGTGTACTTCCTAAAAATCAAAAAAAGAAAAAAAATACACGCGTACACGCATTTACATGTAGAAAACTTCAGGCATTCAATCAATTAGGGAACAAATATGGATTACTTTTTTATAAAAGTCGGATAGGTACTATAATTTGGGTCTCGGATATGCACTTTATCTTAGCCATGACTCATCAATCGGATGTACTGGCATACCAGTTTTGAACTTCACATCGAGACTCAGACCCTGTACTTTTCAAAAGTTGACACATTTTTCACTGAGCATTTTTTGTCATTTACTTGTTAGATGGGTAAGGTTTACTTTTTTCGAAATGTATGTTTTGGATACCACTTTATCCACAAATTAACTTGATGGAAAATTACAATATTCAGGTAATCCGTTCGGAAATCACATATCCCAATAGTAACTAAGCTTATCACATCAACACCTAAATATTAACGATGCAAAACCTCAAACGCTTGCATGAATTTATTTCAACATATTTGTTCTAGTTAAATTATTTCGACTATTAATTTTTAATTAGTCATTTACAATTTAAATTTCTTTAGTCAACTGAAGCTAGAACACCATGGAAAACCTGGAAGCAATGGACGGCCGTTTCGTCCTACTGTGGAAGTCCTCAGCAGCGCGCATCCACGATCCCGCTCCGCGAGATTCGAACCCAGGACATATCGGTCTCGTGCGCGAACGCCTAACCTCTAAACCACTGAGCCGACATCCAACAGTGTTAATATCAATGTTGAAAACTACTATAATATCCACAAAACCCCTTCTGGTACTAGTCATTTACTTTTGATTTTTCCACGGTAATTTTATGTCACTTCTATATAATCTCATAAATAGAACTACATATTTGCGTTAAAAATAGTAACTGTTTATCTAAATATGGCACTAGTTTCTCTTGTTTTTCTTTAAAATATACCATGAGATGTACAATGTTCAATTATGTTAATATTTATTTATTTATTTCAAGATCTTTACAAACACGTTTTTATTCATCACAAGTAAAATAAAAATTATTAAGTTGATTATTCCGGAAAATTTTCTTACCACTATAATTGTTAGTATTATTATTGTTATCGTTTGAGAAAGGAAATTTAAGGCATTATTAAATTAACAAAACTATCTAACTGATAATTCAATTCGAAGTGTCTTGGATTACAGCGTTGTCGATATTTTAAATGAATTTTGATTAGTTCTGGTTCGGATATGAGCAACCTGTGTGAATTGCTTTGACATAGCCAATGTGATACAATTTAATATAGAACGGATAGAATGCGTCTAACAATAGAATCTAGGACGAGTTCATGCTCAATCCGGGACGTAAACCCAATACCATTTGCTGGACTCAGTAGCCAAGCAGATAACACAATAGCATTTGAAGCAAACGCTGCTGAGTTCAAATCCCAAAGTGGACATCAACTCTGGGATGCTTATACATTCAGCTGACGAGTCCCAAATGGGACGAAATGCACGTCCTGCATTCCACAGTAAGGCGCATTTATTTCGTTCTATATAATTTAATCGATAAATCTGTGTAAACCATTAAGAATTAAATTTAAACATTTGTTTATTCAATTATGTAAACGGCGGTCGATTGGATTATGGACACCTCAACATCTCAAGTGAAGCACAGAATACAATGGACGGATCGGAATCATTAGAAGATTTGGAATTCGCAGATAATCTAGCCCACCACCTATCCCATACACACGAACAAATGCAGATGAAGACAACCAATGCGGCAGCAGCCACTGCATCAGTAGGTCTCAAGATACTCAAGTGAAAGAGCAACATCGTCAAATACAACACGCACAGCAACAACAAAATCACACATGATGGAGAAATTCTAGCATCCTACAGATAAATACAACCAGTGTAGCAGCAGTTTCTGCATCAGTAGACCTCCACATACACAAGGGGGAAACCAAGGTCCTCAAATACAACACGGAGAACAGCAATCCAATCACTCTTGATGGCGAAACTCTGGAAGATGTAGAATCCTTCACATACCTGTGAAGCATCATCGATGAACAAGGAGGTTCGGATGCAGACGTAAAGGAGAGGATTACCAAAGTAAGGACAGCATTCATACAATTGAAGAACATATGAAACTCAAAACAACTCTCAACCAATATCAAAGTCAGAATTCTCAATACGAACATAAAGACAGTTCTACCGTACGGAGCTCAAACGTAAAGAACTACTACAACCATCATCAAAAAGGTACAAGTATTTATAAACAATTGTCTACATAAGATACTCAATATCCGTTGGTCGGATACCATCAGCAACAACCTACAGTGAGAGAGAACAAGCCAGTTTCCAGCTGAGGAGGAAATTAAGAAATGACGATGGAAGTAGATAGGACACATATTAGGCAAATCATCAAACTGAATCACGAGGCAAGCCTAAACTTGGAATTTTGAAGCGAAACTGAAAACAAAAAGACCAAAGAGCACACTATGTGGGGAATTCGAAACAGACATGAAAAGGATGGATAACAACTGGAAAGGATTGCTCAGGACAGAGTTGCATGGAGAATGCTAATGAGCAGTCTATGCTCCTTTACGAGGGGTAACAGTTGTGAGTACGTTTCCCACACATAGCCGTGTCTTATACAAACAGGGAGTATTATAAAAGTTAGATTTAAAAATAGCATTATTATAACTCGAAAGATATTCGGTGTGAAGGTAAGATCTGAAAAATAAATGGGCCATAACACAAGATTAAAACTATCATTTCCATAAGGTTAGCATATTGTCAACTTCGAACAGCTGTCCATTGAGCTAAGCTTACAATGAAAAAAGTCGACAGTATCAACAGCTTGAACACCTTTTCCAGCACTTGAAACCAGTTGATTTTGATTGGAGACCACCCTCAAGCACCAATAACAAATACCAACCGATAATGAAGTAACCATCTGTTAGTCCGCGATTTTAATTGTTTGTTTATTGATTTAGCTTAGGCATTTAGATTCATTCAATTCTTTGAAAATTATTACCATCAACATCATCATCACCACACATAGACAATAAGTAGCGAAGTACTTTAACGATAAACAAATAGATTTCATTCATGAAATTTAGTCAGTAGTGCAACCTATTGGAATATGAAATATACTTTTTCTCAGTATGCACCACCGTGAATAAGACTTATTTTGTCAAATGAATACCTAGTTGTTAACAGTACAGAAAAACAAAATCTAAGAGTAGTAGTTAATAAAGTACAACAAATGTATTGAGAACAATTACATTATTAAGATACAAGGCTAGGATATAACCATACTGTATTTCCTTACTTTTAATCATGATGATTTAAACACAAACTAAAGGTGGGTTTTTTCATATCCGTTAACAAACTGAATATATATTCATTTTGAATTATAACGCTATATTAATTAAAGTGATTGGTTGAGAACTCACGTTGAACAGCTGATTAGAATAAAATTCAGATAGAATTGACTGAACATTCACAGTGAATTAATCTAATCAACTGAAATCAACCGCCATCAATTAATCCTGAATTGGAATCGATTGAAATGCAACTTTATATACGTAAACATAATTAACGTTATTAAATATTTCATAGTATATGTATTGGTCAATGTTACGATTTCTATGGTTAGATTAAGAAAGTAGCGCAATTTTGTGCGATAAATCTTTGAATTTCCCAAATAAACCAAGAGACTAATTAAAATACGTTTATTTTTTGGTAAGAAACAGGTTATTATTATCAAATCTAATTTCATAAGCTTCACGTTATGCATTACAACAAGAAGTGTTGTGTTACTCATTGTGCTTGTTAGTGAATTCAACTTCAGCAAGCAACTCTTTCAATATTCCATAAACGTTAAGTGAGTATTCCATTTCTAAAAAAGTTGTGAGAAGAAATATTTCTTTTAAATAAGTACTCCATCATAACTCAATACTAATATATATATTCTACTAGCTGGTCCAGGTTAGAAGAATATCATTGGACGTTGAACTATTGATTCTAATGCTCAGCTCAAGCGTATACCGTAATACCTGAAGGCCCTGAGTCTTATCTCTAAAGAAGTCAAGGGTTCGCACTGTTTAGAAGTTATATACTGGAAAAAAATGGTTGTCCAATAATTTGTAGTCTTCAAGGGTACTCTAACTAAGACCAATCTGTGAACAATTAAACCTATGAACCATTAGAATTTCCAAAATATTTAAGTAATATAATCAAAATCACTTAAATCAAAAGAACAACAACAAATTAATGGAATGTAATGAAGGACAGTTAGTGCTAAAAATTGCATTTTATGTTACAGATTTTATTCTAATCAAAAAAGGAGAATAAGAGAAAATGAGTTTGTCAAACGATTATATGCCATTTACTCAATATAATAATTTTATGAAACCAAATTTAAGGATTCAAAATGGAATACGGTCTAACATTTATTGTAAGACTTATGACTGTATCATATGAGCAAATAAAAATGTCCGAACATTCAACAGATAATATATATATATATATATATATATATATATATTCTTTTTGTCATAAGCTTTTATTTGATCTATTGACTACTAATGTACGATTTTCTATTCTTAGGGTTACTCCCAACTTATTAGCTACAGTCTCGCACACTCACAGACACTTTTGGCTTGATCTTGCATAATTGTTTTTTTCTTTATTTTATGGTATGATTCGGTTTGATTTGATTGTATATAAACCAAATATGTCTGAAGTATATGATTCATACAATGGGAGCTGAGATTGAGTTCCAGACTCGAACAGACTGGGCTAGGCAAAAAGAACTAATAAGGACTCAGAGTTGACTATAAGCTAGTCGCACCGGTTAACGCACCATTGGTTTGGCACAGTTCCAAGGTCGTATAAGTCGGTGTTCTAATTGGCGATCTTATCACGTGATATATTAGCAAGTCTGTATGACATAACAAGGATGAATCACTGTCTCATCTTTTTCAAAAAGTCACACTAACTACCAAATTTCCAATACCTGGTTCTTTGATAAATTTAAAAAGTTGTCTACTGGTGCCTATCACCGCCGGCTTTCCCGATTTTTTGGCTTTGAATACCAACCATTGCTCGCAACGATTAGGTGAACCTTTTATAAGTTCGAGTTTAAGATTCTTTTGATGCACATTGACAACTACTACAACTGCATATAGATCAAGAATTAATGTGTTAAGTTTTAAGAAATTCCAAACAAGCAAAATCGGCAGCTGACACTGTTCATGGAAGTCTTCCAATGTTGTCTGGTTTTAAGGACTTAACCTCAACAATCTATCACTCATAAATTTATAAATAACTACAAACTGTATAAGGCTTTTTGAAAGGATTTAACAATGACTAATTTCAGCTATCGAACAATATTTAACCAGGAACAACAACCAATAATGACGATAAGAATGATAATGAGGACTCTTTTAAGCAGACATTTTCAGTACAAGCAATTGAAACGGAAAACATGACAAGAAACATTAAATATGACTGAGAAGAAACCAGTGAACTGAGTTAGTAACAAAGAGAAAATCCAGTAGATTGCAACTTACAGATAGAAACGGTGAATAAGCTCAAATTTGCCTACAAGATTTGTTTCAAACTATAAATTGTTGAAGGGACTCAATCAGAAACTAATCAATCCTGATAGAAGTCAGTGTTATATGCTAAAATAGGCAAACTAGGGTTATTTCAGCATAAAAAGAGCAAAGCGGAAAAGTGATAGTGAGTAAAAGGAAAATAAGACTAAAATAATAAACTATGTTAGAAGATGGCTGGCAATTGAAATTTGATGTTACATTAATTAGTTCTCCCCAGGTAAGTAAACGTGATTAAAACGTACTTGTACACAAAAATTAGTTATTTAGAGAATATCCAGAGATTTTTCGCAAAACGGGAACTCAAACTGGCAGATTTTGTATAATATACATACAGCATTAAAAAGATATAAGCGAAAGGTTTAGATTAAGTTAAGACACAGCAACAAAGAGTATCAAGTTGAGCGAGATAACAGTAATAATAACGATAGAACACTAGAGAAATCGGCTGCTTACCATAACGGTCGTCTTGAGATTTATGAATTGGATGATAACGCATTGTTTAAATTAATAACTATTATATAATATGTAACATAAAATAAGGTAGAATATCCAAGTGTTGGTTTTTAACACATGTAAAATAAGAAGTGTAAAATATGCCACCTTGATTGGTGTTGACAACAGAAACATATATAAATATTAACTGATTGGTATAATTCAGTTAACAATCACATATTCATGTACTTGGCTTTAAATCAAGTAAATTATGTGTGAGGACTAGTGATACTGCCCGTCTTTTTAAACCAAAATACGCGGAATTGGACTCGAACTTGTGGCCTAGAAGTTAAAAGTTGAACGCACTAACCCTACGCAAATATTTGGCTTTTTGTTTATTTTCTTTCTGAAACTAAACTTAGACAAGTGAAAGGAAGTTTCATTGTCAAAATTAACAGATAACAGGGTTTGAGTATAGTTGGGTAGTGGATAACGGTGGAATCCATAGAGTGCAATTTATGCTAGATGGGTGACTTTTCAGCTGAATGTGCTTATAATATCAACAACGGGAAGACGCACATATTTATGAATAAGATAAAAAGATAAAGTGTTACATTAACAATGTCTAATGTAACTTTAAAAAAGAACTCATGCATTTTGATCACATCAAGAGTTTAAAACAAGGTCAGTCGTGATAATAAAGAAATATTATAAAACCAATAATATATGGTCCGTGACCATCTCTTAACAGAGATACACAAAGTGATGGATTGTGAATAACAATAAAAAATAGCAGGTAACTTGTGGATTTTAGTTCCAACACAAATTACCCACCAAATTTAGAAGAGTTTAAACAATAATAAGTGACAATCAGAATTTAAAATCACGGAAATTGTCAGATTTAAATACTTACTTTTTTAGGACGATTCACGTAAATGATATAAGATACGTTTATTAAAGACTGAATAAAATTATTATTGTCGTATAAACACCTAAAATCAGTTTCCCTGCCCCAACTTCTAAGCAACAATGGGTAAAACTTATAGATTATGAAAGGAAAACATAAGTTACTCATTTAACTGAACTGATGAAAAAAACAAATTGCGATCAACGAAAGTCTATTTCAAAGTTCAATTAAATACTGTTCAATATAGTAATGAAAAACAGTGCATGAGAACAATAATATATTATTATTCAAACAAAAAATAAACGCACCTTAGTTTTAAATCCTCAATTTCAAAGGTGACCAAATGATGCTAATCGTTACAGCACCATTAAATGATAGGAAAGATACTATTCGCCTTTATCTAAAAGTGTTCATTGAGAAAAAAAATGCAACCCATGTTGTAAGTTTTCAAAGAAAATAAATTAATCAAAAAGATGATATCGATTTTATATCAAAAGTCGAAATCACAGAACATTATTCAATCAGTGGTCATATTTATTAAAATGATTTAAAGGTATTTAAGAAAAAAAAAACAGAAGACAGTAGGACATCAAGCTAAACGTCACGTTTAAGGGCTAACAAAATTACTATGTTTACTTAATTGAAATGAATTGAAAGTATGAAAATTGAAGTGCGCTGTGAGACCACTTTTTTCAGATAATATTTTACAAACAAATCCAGTTAATTTATAATTATCAAAAATGCATAGTAGTTTATGTAGATTTACTTCTTGATCAAAAAAATACCTTCAGTCCTTCAAAAATAAAGGTTAACGAATGATATAAATGGGGATTGAATTATACATGAACAACAAGTTATGAATCTAGATAATTTAAAAGAAACACTATTTGGAAGTTCAGCATAATAAGGTATTTTACAAAAAATCCAGGAACAATTCTACATCTAACAGAGTCTGAACTCAGGAACACTCATGACAGCTCATTGTGCAAAGCTGGCATGTCCCACAAAAATTAAAAAGATTTTAGCATGAAGCACAAAATATCACCCAGCAGTAGGTACAAAATGCAATTTTTGAAGATCCTATAGAAAAAGGAAAGTTTTACATTTCTATTATGATCAACTGTAAGTAATGTCGCCCATACCATAAATAAATTTATTTATTTATTTGGACACATGAATATTGGTACAAGAGAGCGCCGATATATATGCGCCACACAGAACAATGCATATTCGAAGAGGAATACAAAGAAAGAAAAAAAAAGCTAAGGAGCACAAAAAAAAAGAGAGAACAATGACGAAGAGATTGGTGTAAGGTAATGTGGTAGTAATGAGGGAACGCAAAGGTACAATCAGAAGAAATCTTTCAGTTAAGGAAGATACAACCACTGCTTATGAAGAAAGTAAAAGAGGGTTACAGCAGGATCGCCACTGGCTTCTATTCTGAGCCATATCTGATAACGTCTCTAGCCACTGTGTTGTACCATCTCTCAGACCCCAACCAGGGAGTCGTGAAGGACCGACACAAGCCAACCCTTTGCAGATTTCTTTCATACCACGACACCATGTCATATACTGACCACCTCTCCGCTTTTACCAACCAGTCCCAGAGTCGGCAAATAATGCACGACGTGGAATTCTCTGGGACGACATTCGGAGAACATGTCCAAGCCACCGAAGTCGGTGTTTCAAGATGGTGAAACCAATTGCATTATCATCTCAGTGCCCGAACACACGATGCCGAACCTCTGCATTACTGACATGGTGTTGCCACTGAATGTCAGCAATCCTTCGGAGACAGCGATGATCGAACACAGAGAGTCGTCTAACGTCCTCAACTCGGAGAGGCCAGGTTTCACAAGCATAGAGCAGAACTTCTCTCACCGACGCGTTGTAGATCCGACCTTTTACAGCCAGACTAACATTACGAAGGCGCCAAAGATGACCCAGATTGGCATAAGCCGCTCTGGCTTTCACTATTCGTGCATTGATCTCATCACTCACACCCTCACCAGCACTTATGCAGCTACCCAGATACACGAACTTCTCGACTACGTCTATCTGCTCACCATCCAGGGTGAGTACAGGATTAGAATCCTGCCAGTCTTGTAGAAGTACTTTGCACTTTGAAGGTGCAAAGCTCATACCATACCTACGGACACAAACGATGAACTCTATGTCTATGGCAACACAAACGATATATAAAAGTGGAACCTATATATGGGTGACAAAAGGCATGAAATACATCATTAAACATTTCCAACCCTAATGAGTAATGTGAAGTACTTTCCTTTTAAAAGTTTTCCACTAGAGATTTATGTAAGCATTTCATATTGCTAAGTGATAGTATGGCGGCGGCTTAGTGGTCATAGTGTCTGAATTTTAGTCACTAATTCGCAAGTCCGAACGCCTCTTCACCTAATTTAGTTTAGGCGACCAGGTATTATCCCTAGCCCTCATACTTAAAGTGTGACTCGAAGCCAAGTACACTTATCTATACCTGGTAAATGAGTTAAAAAACAATCGCTTGCTAGCGCAATTTTGGCATCAAGTTCTCAAGTAAACAAACCATAGGACTTAATATTTCTTAACATGTATTCAAAAAATATAATCAGTTTATCAAATTTGGCTAACTGACTAAAACAACACAGAACGGTGGTAAGTAGTACTGAATTGAAACAAGTGGAGTAACAAAATAAATAAGAAAAACCGAAGCATATAATTGAAAAAGACAGAAGTCATGACACAAGTTTCAGAAGTTTGAGAAGAATAGTAGACTTAACAAGTTTTAAAAACTAATAATTCTCATTAACATGCCATCAATGACTCCAACTTTGTATATGATACTGTTTAGAACATAGGTTCAGACTAACAAGCAAAAACAACTAATGAGCATTATATTTTGATACAAAACAGTGTTATTACCAACATACACACTGTTACAATCAACGCATTATGTAGTAAATAGAGTGGGTCGGATTAAAAAGGTCGAAGAGGTAGCATAATAAATCGTAAGCTTATTATTATTATTATTATTATTATTATTATTATTATTATTATTATTATTATTATTATTATTATTAAGGCAGTTCCAACAGGTCTGAACATGTCCACCCCATTAAATAATAAACTCATTACTTTTTTCATCGCTTATTGGCTCATCACTCCGAATGATAAAGCTAAATTGATAAATGGATGATACAATCTAACAAATTCCATTGTTTGGTTAATTATCGCAATGATTTTTTTTAAAATCATGCTGTAAGTCATTTCTTTTTTAAAAAAAAGTGATAAATAACCCCAACCAATAGTAAAATTACATAACATTAAGAAACATACAACATTCAGTCAAACAGAAATAGTGAAAAGTAACAAATATATGTTGAAATAGTTTTTTTAGTTTCTTCTTCATTAACAACGCATATAATAAAAGGCATTTATCATAAATTACAAATTGTAAAAATTATTATTCACAGTGTAAAAAAAGAATACGTCATGTTATGTAAAATATATACATATACAATAAAGATGACAAAATTACTTATTATTAAACCTATAATTTACAACTAACTGCAATAGATTTGCTGACTTCTTTTCGTTTTTGTTTTACGTACAGATGGAAACAATAAAGAGTAAAACAAACAAATAAAAAATCAATTATACGATGGTGGTGTTTTTCCCACATAATCTACTGTAGTACTGTGGTTGTTGTACATATATCATAGTGTTATCTATCGATGAAGGACATGGAAATAAAATCAACACAGTGGTAAATATGAATTTAAAAAAGAAAAGAAAAAAAACAAAAAGGGAAAATAATTTTTTTTTGAAAGATAGAAATAAAGGTAACTTAATTCATTTTAGTAAATCATTCTGCTGTAACGATATTGCAGTGGCATCGGTTCGACCTATAAATGAAAAAAGCAAAAGATGTATTAATAGAAAAATAACCATATGAAACAATAAAGATGGATTACAAGAGTTATGAGAATTCTATAGGTTGTGTTCGTCAGAAATCGACCTCAGTTGGAGTATCATTGAAAACTAGGGAGCATTGAAATAGCCATTTCGTCCTAGCAAGGGACTTCTTAGCAGTGAGCATCTGGAACTCCCCTTTTACCTCATCCTTCGTAAACACACATACAACCAAAACTAGGAACTTTAAGTTTTGGAACATGCACGAGATTCAATGATAAAAAGTTTTAACTTTAATTAATGGTTTGGTGCAATTATTAAGATAGCTTTAATGAACATTAACACTTACATCATTCCAATAAACAACACGAACAAATTTCAATACATGATCGCGACCAAGAAAAGTACCATCTTCATTATTTTGTATAAAAATATCAATCTACATATATTTAATAAAAATAGAACAAAGAAAGAAAGAAACAGTGAAGACTGTAACAAAAACAATGTTAAGCTAGAGGAATAAACATGCGAATAAAATGATCAAATTTAGTGTATACCGAGAATGGGAAAGACCATATTACGATTTTATTTATTTGAACACATATATATTGGTACAGGAGTGCGTCAAATATATATGCGCCACACAAAACAATGAGAATTTAAGAAGAAAAAGAAAAAGAGTGGGGAACGTAAAAAAAAAAACAACGAAGAGATTGGTGTAAGGTAGTGTAATAATAATAGTAATAGTAGGGGAACAGAAGGGTACAATCAGAAGAAATCCTTTAGTTAAGGAAGATACAACCACTGCTTATGAAGAAAGTAAAAGAGGGTTACAGCAGGATCGCCACTGGCTTCTATTCTGAGCCATATCTGATAACCTATCTAGCAACTGTGTTGTACCATCTCTCGGACCCCAACCAGGGAGTCGTGAAGAACCGATACAAGCCAGCCCTTTTCAGCTTTCTTTCATACCAAGACACCATGTCATATACTGACCACCTCTCCGCTTTCTCCAACCAGTCCCAGAGTCAGCAAATAATGCACAAATAATGCATATTACGATACGTGGAATGTTTAGGTTATATGCTTATTATACTGTCTACCAATTAACTGTGACCTTTAAAAAAAATAATAATGGTACTAATGAATTAGTGCAAACCGGTGGAATGTTCCCTTATAGTTTAAACATCTAATGTTTGGACACTAGAAATACTATGATTAATCCTTTAACAATTTGTATTGCAGATTATAGCATGGAATTTCAGTAGACGAACACATTTGACAAAAAGCAATGAGACGAAACCAAAACTCTTTAGGTTTTTATGTAGCACCACATGGAATCATGACAGTGTTTCTCAATGATAGAGAAATATGAATTGAAGAGACAATTGCCATTTTATCCTCAAACTAATTATGACCAACCGAGATTGCATTCATGTATTGTGTTCGTTTCTTGGTTTCCATAAATTATCCCTTTAAACACTATCTA